TTCAGACCACACGTATGACCCAAAATGCTACGCTAATGGACATCGTCATTATAGAACAAATGAAAAGCAGCAGTGCAACTAGCTACTTATATTGTGCAATAACTCATAGGTGACTTCCATTGATCTGGCTTGCCTCTTTAACTCTACCTAATGTGACTGTTTTCATACTAGCTCAGATAACAATGTATCCTAAATCCCTCTGCCCTTTCACCCATGTCAATTCTACTGTGGGATAGTGAAAAGGTTATGATATCTCCTTGCCTCACAATTCTCTACCTTTCACCTGAAGTGCACTCCTCTTCAAAAGCATTGGATTGCTGTTCCTACAACACTCCTTTGCACTTGAATCCATGAAGGGAAGTGAACTAGTACACACATAGAACATAAGGGTAGAAAAGGAAGAGCTGACCCAGGCAGTAGAGTATAGCGCAGCTTACTGGCTTTATACCTTCCATTCTCTTGATGATCCAAAGGGGAACCAGGATTCGTTCACCATGTAGGGCTTAAATGACACACTAGTAGACGCAGTGGTCTCAGAAGAATGGGTTTATCCCCCAGAGCCTGGGACAGGCTGGCCAAGTCATTAAGCACGGCTTTAGCTCGGCAGGCTATATCACGGTTCCAGGATAGGTGTTGTCTGTATCAGTGGCAATGTGATGGTAGCGGATTAGAGTGTGTGTGTGTGTGAGTGTTTAAACCACAGTATTTTCCCACAGCAGCTGTGTTGAGCACCATGAGCCTGGAAAGATAGACTAAGGCACTAAATGTTCCATGGCACTGGATGCAGTGGAGGCTGCTGAGGGGAGAACGGCTCATAATAATGTCTGGAAGGGAGCGAATGGAATGGCATCAAACACCTGGAAACAATGTGTTTGATGTATTTAATACCATTCCATTCAATCCGCTCCAGCCATTACCACAAGCCTGTCCTCCCCAATTAAGGTGCCACCAACCTCCTGTGACTGGATGTACATGTTCCCGTGCAGGGGGAGCCTCAGTGCCCACTCTCCAAGGCCTAGCCAGAGTGTCTTGGCATGGCATGGGCACCGCTGTGCCCTCCATCTCAGTGCTATGCCAATAGCCCCCGCCTCCCCATCTCTGTGTGACTCTGGGCTGCCTCAGCCCCCCACAGAAAGTCTGTGATCTGCTCAGCAAACCCGTCCAGACCTTCACAGTGAGTCCCATGCCCCTCTTAGGTAAATCCCCCCCACACACCAGGGATAAGTGGCTCCTGCCCACTGTGCCTAAAGGGAGGTGGCCAGGACCACGTTGGGACAGCGGGGGATGCTGAATGGGGGGTAGATGTAAGCCACTGTTTAAAAAGTAGGTAGCGTAGCGGTTAAGAGCGTTGGGCCAATAACCGGAAGGTTGCTGGTTCGAATCCCCAAACCGACTAGGTGAAGAATCTGCCGATGTGCCCTTGAGCAAGATACTTAAACCTAGTTTCTCTGGATAAGAGCGTCTGCTAAATGACTAAAATGTTAAAGTGATAACTGCATCCTGGCTTTTAAGTGTTGGGGTAACCACCTGACTTATTTAAAAAATAACTAGGCAAGTCACATAAGAAACAAATTCTTATTTACAATGACAGCCTACACCGGCCAAACCTGGGCCAATTCTGCGCCGCCCTATGGGACTCCCAATCACAGCCGGTTGTGATACAGCCTGGAATCGAACCAGGGAGTCTGTAGTGACGCCTCAAGCACTGAGATGCAGTGCCTTAGACCGCGGCGCCACTCGGGAGCCCAGAGTTTCGCCAGAGATTCATGTAAAACTTCAAAAATGTTCTGATGAACCGAGAAGGAACATTCTAGCTAAGCAGTGGTTTAGTTTATATACAAAGACACTACATAAACATCACTATGGTGTGTTTTGTTTGAGTTCCAGACATACTTGAGGTAAAAGCATCTCCTTCTTTCATGATACACAGAGGGCGAAGACAGGATGATCAATGAGTTCAATATGCTAAAACGTCCCCCAACAATACACTCTGTGTGCGCTGCAACAATACAGACTAACATCACAAGTGCCAGATTGTCGTCTCTTCATTTATGTTGTTGTTGTCATCCAAACAAAAATAGAACACTAAAAAGGCTGCATTGAGTAAATAAGTCAAAGGTAAGAGTGAAAACCAGAACACCCTAACATACTGGATGCCTAGTATGCTTTGGGGTGAAGTTTCCCCTTAACCTGGTCTCAGAGCATTTTATATTATTCTGTACGCAAATCCGAGACACTCCATTTAGTATGATGTTACGTTTCGTATGGTATGTATTCATTTGTGGATGTCCATCATCCATTTCGTATGATATGTTACCAATTACAATGATATTTACGAATTGCAATTCATACAATATGTTACGAATTTGCAAAACGTACATGTTACGAATTTGTCAAACGTATGATGTTACGAATTCCAATTTGTTGCTGCTAACGTTAGTTAGGTGGCTAACACTAATGTTAGCTAGGCTAGGGGTTAGGGTTAAGGTTAGGGTTAGGTTAAAGGGTTAAGGTTAGTGTTAGGGGAAGGGTTAGTTAAAAGGGTTAAGGTTAGCTAACATGCTAAGTAGTTGCAAAAACTAAAGTTGTCCATGATGAGATTCGAACACACAACCTTGGGTTGCTAGACGTTCGCATTATGCACCCACCCCGACCAACCATGTTCCTTTCATTTTAGCCTTAAGTAACCTTCTTTTTTATGTAACCATACCAAACTTAACATATCATACTATCATACATACTACTGAACAAAAATATAAATGCAACATGTAAAGTGTTGGTCCCATGTATTATGAGCTGAAATAAAAGACCCCAGAAATGTTCCATACGCACAAAAAGCTTATTTCTCTGTTGCCAAGATAATCCATCCACCTGACAGGTGTGGCATATCAAGAAGCTGATTAAACAACATGATCATTACACAGGTACCCCCGCTGAGGGGTATTTCTGTCTGTAATAAAGCCCCTTTGTGGGGAAAAACTCATTCTGATTGGCTGGGGCTGAAATTGTTGCATTTATATTTTTGTTCAGTATAATTTGAGTGTCCCAGATTCACATCTACTATGTTACGTCTGGTCTATAAAACCAGGCTGTTCTCCTAGGTACAGATCTAGGATCAGCTTCCCCTTCCCCTAATCCTAACTTTAACCATTAGTGGAAAATGCTAAACTGACCCAAGACCAACGTCTGGGGGCAACTTCACCCTATTCCATATGCCTACATGAGAAACAAGAGCATGTTTAGCAGCTGCGGAGCTACCATGACATTAATTAGCATGTAATGGTGGCACATACAGTAAGTAGTATGTAGGAGTGCCATTAGCTAGCTGTCACTGAGGAACAAAGGGACTATATGAGAGAATGAGTTGTGTGCTACGCCTCATCCCTTAAGCTACAATAGTACATCACTCTCTGTGACAATAGCATCTGAGTCACTTAGCATTCAATGATATACAAGATCCAAGTCTCTCTCTCTCACACACACATTCCCTTTTGTGGTGATATGAGTGTAAATGCGCTGTATAGAGAAATGAACATGTTTAATCCTAATCCTTGTCAGCACGCAGGCGACCTTGTGGCATGCCATCTGACTGACTGCGCAGAGGAGGCTGTGTAATTCGGTACATCAGAGAGAAAGGGATAGGGCTTGGGGCAACAATGACGCACAGTGGAACCTTTGATGTGCATTGACAGCTGTATAGAGGGGGAGGAGAATGGGGGGGTTGATCCATGGAGACCAATGAGACCTTAATCCTTTTCCATCGAGGGATGCGTGACCGGTTCGCACCCACTAGTCATTACTCCCTCACCATTGGCTCTAATTGGTCACACCCACCACCCCTCCCGTCTTGTCATTGGTCTTGATGAGCAGTGACCTTGGGGATGATGTCACAACCCCAGACTCCAGCAGATGGAAGCTAGTCACGCAACCAACCCAGGGCCTGGAGTAAATGTGTCAGTGCTTAAAGAGAACCCTCATTACCAGGTAAACACTGTAGATTAAAGGAACCGGACTCAGTGTTTCCCTATTGAGCAGGATGTTTTGTGCGTTGTTGAGGAGGTTCAACTAGGCGAGGCGGCTAAATGAAACAGCATTGGAGATGTATTGGGTGTGGGATAGGTTTGGCTGGTGGGTGTGGAGCTGTAGAGAGGGCACTGAGTGCAATAGTGTGACTCATGACCTGGGAATGCAAACTCACAGCTGAGTCACACACAAGCATGAACACACACACAACGCTGCCAGGGGTCACTAAAGTCAGCAGTCATAACCCAAGGGACGGAGTGTAAACACACCCTTGCTTGTGCCTTGTTCATGACCTTTTCAAAGTCAGGAGCATACTTTTAAGTTAAGGACACAAACACGTTTGTTCTTTATGTGGGAAATTCTGGCATTTAGGCCCTTGTTCTACTTAGAGTAAGATTAACTTGTGGATACGATTTTTATGCATATGTGTGCAGTATGAAGGAAGTTAGCGGTAGTTTCACGAGCCAATGCTAATGACTGGAAGTCTACAGGTACGGTAGCATTGCTCGTGAAACTACCGCTAACTTCCTTCATACTGCAAGCAGAGCCATATAAATTATATACACGAGTTCATCTGACTCTGGGTAAGTAGAACTGAAATGGGCTGAAATGACAGAATCTCGCAGTATCTCTTTAAACAATATGTAGATACCAGAAATAGAGCGGAATTATAAAGCAATAATCTCCATGATATTAAAGTAACAAATACAGTATACATTATTGTTTGTCAGTTGTGTTCATGGCAGTTGTGTTCATGGCTGAATGCTTTGATTATGATGGGGCATTTGAGGATAGAGCCTCTTTTAGCGCTATCATCAGCTAAATGCTGCCACCTTCTGATACGTTTTTTTAAAAAGCACCCTGTTCTATTTCTATGGACAACGTTCACTTAGTTCACTACTGGGTAGAAAATGCTGTTAAGCCTGCTGTTAAAAGTCAATACAATACATTTATGTATTTTTTTTCAACAAATTATGCAAGATTGGATTGTGTACGTACAGTTTCAAATAGCTTTCAAAAAAAAAAATACATAAATGTTTTACCAAATTGAAACAACGACCAATATCATCCATTGAATAGACATCCATGCCAGATTTCTTTGCTTTTATACATACATAATTCCCCATATAGTCCAAATAACAAATGCATTGCAATTATCAGCAATTAAGTTGGCTACTAGTGAAAAGTCTTCATTTGATCCCTTATATCCAAGGAACGTAGAATGAAGTGTTCAAGTAGTTGTCCGGATATCACTCTGCTTTCAGTCTCTGCATGGTGTCTGATGGTTTGTAATGGGTTATAATCTGTACCATAATGAATGAGTTAATGATCAAGAATAGCAGTCCAGCCAGCCAAATGAGCAGAAAGGTGTTGTATCCCTCAAACTCCAGGTAGTACGCAGGGGCCAACCATATACCCTGAGACAAAAGAAGAAGAAAACATTTCCTAAATACAAAGGGTAAGCATTTGCTATACAACTTCAATGACAAGTCATTTTATATGATGCAAGCCATAGTCTGATGCCACTTCGAGAGGACACAAGTTATGTATTTATTTATCAATATTATAATGACCAACTTTGGGGGAATTTTTGAGCTACTGTTTCATTTGATAATATTGGAGCCATGTTGGTTAGTCTGGTAATACTGTATATGGTAAGTTAGGTTGGGTCTATTTTTGAAGCCATTTATGTTTGTATAATGGGACTATAACTAGGTTTCCAGCCAACCTTTTTATGCAAGTAAAGTACGTTGGATAAGAAATGCCACTGCAGGCCTGATTGAAACAGCAAATTTGTTGGTAAACTTTCCAAATGTCGACAAAACAAATACGCTAGACAAGGTGGGATCTTTTTGTGTCTGTAAAATTCAGTGGTGTACTTAAGTAGTTTTTTGGGGGTATCTGTACTTTACTATTTATATTTTTGACTACTTTTACATTTAATTCACTTCCTTCCTAAAGAAAATGTTATACCTTTTACTCCATACATTTCCCTTGACACCCAAAAGTACTCGTTACATTTTATCAACAGAACATCCCTGGTCATCCCTACTGCCTCTGATCTGGCGGACTCACTAAACACACATGCTTCGTTTGTAAATGATGTCTGAATATTGGAGTGTGCCCCTGGCTATCCGTAAAAAAAGTTTTTTTAATGGTGCCGTCTGGTTTGTTTAATATAAGGAATTTGAAATGATTTATACTTTTACTTTTGATACTTAAGTATATTTTAAACAAAATACTTTAAAACTTTTACTCAAGTAGAATTTTACTGGGTGACTTTTAATTGAGTCATTTTCTATGAAGGTATCTTTACTTTTACTAAATTATGATAATGAGGTACTTTTTCCACCACTGGTTAAATTAATTATGTGATAAATGGTGGTGGACATGCTTTTATGCTAAAATATTGATATAATAGCCGTCATATCGAAGTAAACTAGCTCCGACTGGGAAATTTTTTTTGAATGGACATCAACTCGGAATCTCAAGTCGGGAACTTTATAGAGCACTTTCCGACCTGAATACCACTGATGTCATGATTTTTTTATTCGGTACATGGGAATTTAACTGCAAATAAATGCTTTACGTGCACTACGTCAACACGCAAAGCCTTTTATCCGCAACAAGTCAATTTGATGAAAACATCTCGTGGGAAAATGCGCATATCGTTTTTTATTTGGATTTTAGAATATTCACATGAAAATCTGTCGCCAATTGGACAGAAATCTTGCTAAAATCAACCAATAATGCTGCACCTACCTGTCCAGCGAACCAGAGAGCCAGAAGTTCTACTCCTTGTTTTGGTGACAGGGTCAGTCGAGGTAGGATGAGAGGAAACAGACACAGATACCACAGGAAGTACTGCAAAAAAACACAAAACATACTATCAGCATCATAACATTCCCACAAGCTACATGCCATGGGTTTGATGTTACAGTATGCACGCCCTTGGTTTTCAACCAATATAATGCAACAACAAAAAAACACTGCTATCATGATATAGCACCGTCAACACCAGCATGATACAGATTGGGGGAAAGGTCACATTCAACACAACACATGTATCATAACATTTAACCTAACATGTCATACCATCTATGTCATATCAGTGTCACAATATCCATGTTTATCGATTTAATGTTACTTAACACCTAACAACAGTTTCAAACATGATACAGATGGAGGAGTGTCATATTCACCTGGGAGGTGCAGACTTTGTTGAAGGAGACAAAGATGGCGGTGTGGAGGAAGCAGCAGAGGGCCAGGTCTGTGTGGAAGGCCAGGGAGACCAGGAGCAGCAGCAGGGCCTGGGGCAGGAAGGCAGCCAGGCCCAGGGCCAGGCTCCAGGGGCTGTCTGCAGTCAGGTACAGCATGTAGAAGTAGGGGGAGAAGTTGTGGCGGATGTCCCTCCGCGTCAGGTGGTACAGGTAGGTCTCGTGGAGGAAATCCCAGCCGTACCTGATTAGAGACGGTCAAATGGGTAGAGAACAGTTATGAGGACAATTGTATTGGTAACATGATTTACCATTAGAAAACAAGCATCAAACACATGAAATAACAGATTTCAAAACTGACAATTAAAAGCCTTTCATGGTCAATGACCAACCGATCTTTACTAGGAGCATCGACAACAACTCAAGTTTTCATTAGCCCACTGAGCTGTCCCAAACTTACATGTTATAAAACAGGACAGTCAATCCACAGAACACCACTCCGGCCACACCTGCAAACAGAAACAGCTCCTTATTCAGTAGCCTGAGGACAAACCCAAGAGCTCTCCTCCACCACCCCGCTCTCCTCTCCTCCCCATCCTCCCTTCTCTGTAGGGATAGGGCGATAGGCAGGGCATAGGTCACTGGGTATATTTTCATGTGGACGGCCAGGCCGTACAAGATGGCTGCCATGGGGAGCCGCCTCAGCTCCAGGCAGAGCAGCGTGGCCAGAACCAGGGCGGTTAAGACCGACTCGGCGTTGCCTCGGCTGGACACACCGGCCGGTAACGGGTTGAGGAGCCACAGGGAGCAGACACGGCAGGCAGCCTCGCAGCTAAGTCCCCGCTGGCGAAGGATAAGGTAGATCAGGTGGCCTGAGAGCACGTCGCATGTGATGAAGAGAAGCTTCCCGAAGACATGGCTGAGGTAGACGTTCGGGGTCAGGATCCATGCTAGTAGAGGGGTGTAGCGGTAGGTGGATCTGTGGTATGGAGACTGGCCCTGCAATGACATGAGGACAGAATGATGCAGGTTAGGTACACTACACATGTAAAAATCACTGTTTGCTAAAGTGTAGCTTTGCAGGAATGCAGACTCATCACCAGCAGGGACTCACAGCTGGGAGGTTCTCTCAAATAAAGCAAAATTCTCTCAAATAACGATTTGGGCATGAGTAATGTAACATTGACAGATCCAACCAACATTTTATTATATTGATTCTCAAGCCAGTGGCTTTCAGCTGGCCAGGTCCCTGAAATTTTTTTAGGATAAAACTTGCCAGAAGATACCGACCCCACCATTACGCTTGTTTACACTGAGCTGCATTGTGCTCGGAACGCAATCATGGTTACATTAAGACACTGTGGAGCTGGCCCGAGATATGGGTCAGAAAACATACCTCAATGCAGGGATGGGATATGCAACTGTACTCCAAATTTGACCTTTATCCACACTGCTCCATCGAGAACATTTAAATCCTGGTAGTTTCCGGAACACTGCCCTATTTCGTCCTCATGCTAGTTGCCGTAGCCACAGTAGCCATTATGGAATGGCAACGTCGTGTTGAACAACAAAGGAGCTGATTGGCTGACACTGCCATTCCAAAATGGCTGCGGTGGCTACTGCTAGCTAGCATGAGGACGAAAAGGGTCGTTTTCCTGGAAAACAAGCAGTGTTTCAATCATCTCAATGGAGCAGTGTGGATAAAGGTAACATTTGTACAGTGTATGGCGCAATTTCAGTGCCAAAAGAAATTGTATTTGAATCCATAATTTTGAATTTGTATTAGAATATTGAATTTGAATGTAATATTTTTGTATTTGTAATGCACAAATTGAATCATTGAATTCATACATTGGATTTGTATTTCATGACTTGAAACTGAATTGAGTGAATATTGCATTCAGTTTAAAAATTCTATTTCAATTTAATTGATTATTCAAATGAATATATCGCATTAATTGTCTGTGTATTATGTTTAGAAACATTTATTTCAAGTTTATCAAAGTTTCATATATTCAACTTCTCAGATGCATTCAGATTCAGTTATCAAATTCAGTTCTCTAAATTCAGATTCAAAACCAGAGACAACATCCTGGTACTTTGCCAGCCAGGAAAAGTAGAGAACAGATATAATTAAACGCTCACTGTTGTTAAAATAAGCTTCTGAAGCCAATGTGGCATGTTGAATTTATTTTCTTCTTATGAATTTTGCTCTAACGTTTGAACCGTTTTGGCTATAAATATTATGACCCCATTCCTGAAAGCTAGGAATCTCTGGAATATGGATGTCACAAAAACCATTTTGGGACTTTGATCGCGTTCCGACTCCAGTGCAGCTCAGTGTAAACAAGTCTAACGGTAGGTTCGGTATCTTCTGGCAAGGATAAAACACATTGCAAATAACACCAGAAAGGCCTACAACAGATCTCCTGTCAGAACTGTCAGACAGGTATGTATATTTCTAATATTTAAGAAAATGGTGAACTTACTTGCGTGATGAACTTCGAAGCATCTGTAAACACGTGATAATCAATATCAGTGTATTTGACCACCATAGTTCTGTCCTGATAGACACCAAAACTGACCAAAACAAGTCGTACGAAAATCGACACAGTGAAAAGTACATTTTTATTCATAAGCTTGGACAGGGCGCTTTCCATGATACAAGCCATAGCGTTAGTTGTCCAACCTGTTCGACAATAAGTTAGCTAGCAGCTACTGTAGCTAACGTTACTGTCTTCCTAGCTAGGTAATGCAAGGGATAAAGCCATGCCGTGTCATTGTCCTATCGTGTAGCTAGCAAGCTAACGTTAGATACATTCACATTTGACTAGATAGCTTGTCCGTTATATCAATTGTATAATCATTTTCACAATTTCACTAGAAATACAAGTTGCTGCAGCTCCTGCTGTTAACTAGGAAGTGTTTTCTTCTTCGTGTGACTTTCCGCCAGACTAGACGATGTGTTGCGTATTGCTGCCTTTCGCAGCTTGGAGTGCGGATTGCACATTTTGGTCACTTTTATTTTTCTTCTTAAATCTTAAATTGTACCACCGTCTAACCCTGCACCTATACACTATCCCCCAAAACCCAACACCCCATTCCCCTACTTTGGCCCTAAACGATCTTACAATTGGCTGTGGGCCTGGGAGGATGGCACCCCTTATCTCAACTTCCTATAGATCTTCTACACTAAAATCTCTCAAGCCCAAATATGTCTCTGCTGCTGCAACTACCACATATATCTTCTGTGATTTCTGCTGCATCAGCGCAGTGCAGTTGATCACCATGTCTATAAACGCAAGAAATCCAACCTTACTAAAACGCATCCTCTGGATCTCTCTCTTCAGGCCTACTCACAGGGGGCTCCCGGTGGAATCACTCACCCTTGGGCTATCCTCTACTCTCTTCACTGCCTCAGCATAGGAAACTTTATTCCCCACAACTCTGGCAATCTCAACCTGTCTCTCTCTCTCAAAGGGCACTTCGGAACCCCAGCTGCATGGGTGCCTCCACAGACACAGTGTTTTCTCTATCCCAACTGTACACTCCCTCTGACAATGCCCTTCTGCACATTTCTCACATCATGGGATCTCCATTCTACACACTGCTGCAACATGTCCGAATCCTTGGCACCTAAAGCACCGTAGCAGGTTCGGAACATAGGTCCTCACAGAATAGCAAATATAACCTAATATGACTTTATCAGGTAGAAACTCTGTGTCAAAGCTTAACAAGAGAGACAGGGTATTCTCATTCTTGCCATTGCCACCGGGTATACGTCTCACCAAACGGCGGGCGTCACAAACACCAGGAATATTATTTTTCATTTGATTCACCTCTACACTCAATGCTACCCCACTGATCACCGCTTTGAGTTCCGGAGAGCAAAGCACGCCACAGGTTGAGCCGCGTGATGCGAAGAGCCCGATTCCTCTGGGCGGAGGATGGAATTTTGCCTATGCTTTGCTCCATTCTGTTTATTTTTTATCCTGAAAAACTCCCCAGTCCTTAACGATTACAAGCATACCTACAGTGGCTTGTGAAAGTATTCACCCCCCTTGGCATTTTTCATATTTTGTTGCCTAACAACCTGGAATTAAAATTGATTTTTTGGGGGTTTGTATCATTTGATTTACACAACATGCCTACCACTTTGAAGATGCTAAATAAATAAAAATTGTGAAACAAACAAGAAATAAGACAAAAAAACTGAACTTGAGCGTGCATAACTATTCACCCCCCCTAAAGTCAATACTTTGCAGAGCCACCTTTTGCAGCAATTACAGCTGCAAGTCTCTTGGGGTATGTCTCTATAAGCTTGACACATCTAGCCACTGGGAAGTTTGCCCATTCTTCAAGGCAAAACTGCTCCAGCTCCTTCAAGTTGGATGGGTTCCGCTGGTGTACAGCAATCTTTAAGTCATACCACATATTCTCAATTGGATTGAGGTCTGGGCTTTGACTAGGCCATTCCAAGACATTTAAATGTTTCCCCTTAAACCACTCAAGTGTTGCATTAGCAGTATGCTTAGGGTCATTGTCCTGCTGGAAGGTGAACCTCCATCCCAGTCTCAAATCTCTGGAAGACTGAAACAGGTTTCCCTCAAAAATGTCCCTGTATTTAGCGCCATCCATCATTCCTTCAATTCTGACCAGTTTCCCAGTCCCTGCCGATGAAAAACATCCCCACAGCATGATGCTGCCACCACCATGCTTCACTGTGGGGATGGTGTTCTCGGGGTGATGAGAGGATTTGGGTTTGCACCAGACAGAGCGTTTTCCTTGATGGCCAAAAACCTCAATTTTAGTCTCATCTGACCAGAGTACCTTCTTCCATATGTTTGGGAAGTCTCCCACAGGGCTTTTGGAGAACACCAAACATGTTTGCTTATTTTTTTCTTTAAGCAATGGCTTTTTTTCTGGCCACTCTTCCGTAAAGCCCAGCTCTGTGGAGTGTACGGCTTAAAGTGGTCCTATGGACAGATACTCCAATCTCCGCTGTGGAGCTTTGCAGCTCCTTCAGGGTTATCTTTGGTCTCTTTGTTGCCTCTCTGATTAATGCCCTCCTTGCCTGGAGTTTTGGTGGGTGGCCCTCTCTTGGCAGGTTTGTTGTGGTGCCATATTCTTTGGATTTAATGGTGCTCCGTGGGATGTTCAAAGTTTCATATATTTTTATATAACCAACCCTGATCTGTACTTCTCCACCACTTTGTCCCTGACCTGTTTGGAGAGCTCCTTGGTCTTCATGGTGTCGCTTGCTTGGTGGTGCCCCTTGCTTAGTGGTGTTGCAGACTCTGGGGCCTTTCAGAACAGGTGTATATATACTGAGATCATGTGACAGATCATGTGACACTTAGATTGCACACAAGTGGACTATATTTAACTAATTATGTGACTTCTGAAGGTAATTGGTTGCACCAGATCTTATTTAGGTGCTTCATAGCAAAGGGGGTGAATACATATGCACGCACCACTTTTCCATTATTTTTTCTGGAGAATTTTTTTAAACAAGTTATTTTTTTCATTTCACTTCACCAATTTTGACTATTTTCTGTATGTCCATTACATGAAATCAAAATAAAAATAAATTTAAATTACAGGTTGTAATGCAACAAAATAGGAAAAACGCCAAGGGGGATGAATACTTTTGCAAGGCACTGTATACAATGCCTTCAGAAAGTATTCAGACCCCTTGACTTTTCTACACAATATTACGTTACAGCCTTATTCTAAAATTGATTAAATAAATGTTTTTCCTCATCAATCTACACACAATACCCCATAATGAAAAAGCGAAAACAGGTTTTTAGAATTGTTTGCAAATGTATAAAACATTTAAAACAGAAATACCTTATTTACATAAGTATTCAGACCCTTTGCTATGCTGTTTCCATTGATCATCCTTGAGATGTTTCTACAACTTGATTGGAGTCCACCTGTGGTAAATTCAATTGATTGGACATGATTTGGAAAGGCACACACCTATCTATATATGGTCCCACAGTTGACAGTGCATGTCAGAGCAAAAACCAAGCCATGAGGTCAAAGGAATTGTCTGTGAGCTCCGAGACAAGATTGTGTCGAGGCACAGATCTGGGGAAGGGTACCAAAACATTTCTGCAGCATTGAAGGTCCCCAAGAACACAGTGGCCTTCATCATTCTTAAATGGAAGAAGTTTGGAACCACCAAGACTCTTCCTAGAGCTGGCCGCCCGGCCAAACTGAGAATTGGGGGAGAAGGGCCTTGGTCAGGGAGGTGACCAAGAACCCGACGGCTTTGGGACAAGTCTCTGAATGTCCTTGAGTGGCCCAGCCAGAGCGCGGACTTGAACCCGATCAAACATCTCTGGAGAGACCTGAAAATAGCTCTGCAGCGACACTCCCCATCCAACCTGACAGAGCTTGAGAGGATCTGCAGAGACAAAGAGGGGGAAACTCCCCAAATACAGGTGTGCCAAGCTTGTAGCGTCATACCGAAGAAGACTTAAGGCTGTAATCACTGCCAAAGGTGTTTCAACAAAGTACTGAGTAAAGGGTCTGAATACTTATGTTAATGTTATATTTCAGTTTTTTATTTTTAATAAATGTGCAATAATTAATAAACAGATTTTGCTTTGTCATTATAGGGTATTGTGTGTAGATTGATGAGGGAGAAAAAACAATTTAATCCATATTAGAATAAGGCTGTAACGTAACAAAAGGTGGAAAAAGTCAAGGGGTCTGAATACTTTCCAAATGCACTGTACTACTGTTCTGTACTCTGTCATGTATTTGTACGTTTTATGTGGACCCCAAGAAGAGTAGCTGCTGCATGAGCAGTAGCTAATGGGGATCCTACTAAACTAAGCTAAATACTCATAACATGATGCATCCTCCACTATGCTTGAAAATATGCAGTAATGTGTTGTATTGGATTTGCCCCAATCATAACACTTTGTATTCAGGACAAAATGTTTCTTGCTTTGCCGCATTACTTTAGCGCCTTGTTGCAAACAGGATGCATGTTTTGAAATATTTGTATTCTGTACAGGCGTCCTTCTTTTCACTATGTCAATTAGGTTAGTATTGTAGAGGAACTACAATGTTGATCATTCCTCTGTTTTCTCCTATCACAGCCATTAAACTCTGTAACTGTTTTAAATCACCATTGGCCTCATGATGAAATCCCTGAGCGGTTTCCTTCCTCTGCAACTGAGTTAGGAAGCACGCCTGTATCTTTGTAGTGACTGGGTGTATTGAAACACCATCCAAAGTGTAATTAATAACTTCACCATGCTGAAAGGGATATTCAGTGTTAGCTTCTTTTTTTTCCCCCATCTACCAATAGGTGCCCTTTGCGAGGCATTGGAAAACCTCCCTGGTATTTGTGGTTAAATCTGTGTTTGAAATTCACTGCTCGACTGAGGGACCTTACAGATAATTGTATAATAATATGCCATTTACAGTGGGGAAAAAAAGTATTTAGTCAGCCACCAATTGTGCAAGTTCTCCCACTTAAAAAGATGAGAGAGGCCTGTAATTTTCATCATAGGTACACGTCAACTATGACAGACAAAATGAGAAAATCACATTGTAGGATTTTTTATGAATTTATTTGCAAATTATGGAGGAAAATAAGTATTTGGTCAATAACAAAAGTTTCTCAATACTTTGTTATATACCCTTTGTTGGCAATGACACAGGTCAAACGTTTTCTCTAAGTCTTCACAAGGTTTTCACACACTGTTGCTGGTATTTTGGCCCATTCCTCCATGCAGATCTCCTCTAGAGCAGTGATGTTTTGGGGCTGTCGCTGGGCAACACGGACTTTCAACTCCCTTCAAAGATTTTCTATGGGGTTGAGATCTGGAGACTGGCTAGGCCACTCCAGGACCTTGAAATGCTTCTTACGAAGCCACTCCTTCGTTGCCCGGGCGGTGTGATTGGGATCATTGTCATGCTGAAAGACCCAGCCACGTTTTATCTTCAATGCCCTTGCTGATGGAAGGAGGTTTTCACTCAGAATCTCACGATACATGGCCCCATTCATTCTTTCCTTTACACGGATCAGTCGTCCTGGTCCCTTTGCAGAAAAACAGCCCCAAAGCATGATGTTTCCACCCCCATGCTTCACAGTAGGTATGGTGTTCTTTGGATGCAACTCAGCATTATTTGTCCTCCAAACACGACGAGTTGAGTTTTTACCAAAAAGTTATATTTAGGTTTCATCTGACATTCTCCCAATCCTCTTCTGGATCATCCAAATGCACTCTAGCAAACTTCAGACGGGCCTGGACATGTACTGGCTTAAGCAGGGGGAGACGTCTGGCACTGCAGGATTTGAGTCCCTGGCGGCGTAGTGTGTTACTGATGGTAGGCTTTGTTACTTTGGTCCCAGCTCTCTGCAGGTCATTCACTAGGTCCCCCCGTGTGGTTCTGGGATTTTTGCTCACCGTTCTTGTGATCATTTTGACCCCACGGGGTGAGATCTTGCGTGGAGCCCCAGATCGAGGGAGATTATCAGTGGTCTTGTATGTCTTTCCTAATAATTGCTCCCACAGTTGATTTATTCAAACCAAGCTGCTTACCTATTGCAGATTCAGTCTTCCCAGCCTGGTGCAGGTCTACAATTTTGTTTCTGGTGTCCTTTGACAGCTCTTTGGTCTTGGCCATAGTGGAGTTTGGAGTGTGACTGTTTGAGGTTGTGGACAGGTGTCTTTTATACTGATAACAAATTCAAACAGGTGCCATTAATACAGGTAACGAGTGGAGGACAGAGGAGCCTCTTAAAGAAGTTATAGGTCTGTGAGAGCCAGAAATCTTGCTTGTTTGTAGGTGACCAAATACTTATTTTCCACCATAATTTGCAAATAAATTCATTAAAAATCCTAAAATGTGATTTCCTGGATTTTTTTTGTCAATTTGTCTGTCATAGTTGACGTGTACCTATGATGAAAATTACAGGCCTCTCTCATCTTTTTAAGTGGGAGAACTTGCACAATTGGTGGCTGACTAAATACTTTTTTCCCCCACTGTGGCAGACGCTTTTATCCAAAGCGACTTACAGTCATGTGTGCATACATTTTTACATATGGGTGGTCCCGGGGATCGAACCCACTACCCTGGCGTTACAAGCGCCATGCTCTACCAATTGAGCTACAGAGGACCATATGGTTGGGGTACAGAGATGAAGTACTGTTACTGTCCCCACTACAAGAAAATAATACTTAAATACATGTAATTTTGTCCTCTGAACATTTAATTGAAATACTTTAGAATCCCATTCATTCCTATAGAGGACTGCTTCTTCTAGGGAGTGCCAATATGGCCGACCAGTGGCGTCAAAGCCTCTCATTGGACAATACATAGTATCGTCAATCCAGGGTTTATATACATCATTGGTTAAGACACCCATGTGAACACACAGGAAATGACACACACACACACTTAAGTTCATATATCATCTTTATTTCTTGTAAACGATCATATAGTTGCTTAATTGGAAAAAACGCCAGTATTGCATCAGAAGACTAGGTGAGAGTACATTATCAGAACATGAAGTAAAAATACGTTTGAAGATAATTGCACTTCAGTGTGTTGAAGAAGGTGGAAAGTAGAGAAACATCGATCATAAGGCAAAATGTGTTGGATACTTTATAACATCAGGCCAGTAAGACATTCATCAAATTCCTCAAACCTAATTTTAACACAAACGTTTACATTTTAGTCATTTAGCAGACGCTCTTATCCAGAGCGACTTACAGTTAGTGAGTGCATACATTTTCATACTGGCGCCCCGTGGGAATCGAACCCACAACCCTGGTGTTGCAAACACCATGCTCTACCAACTGAGCTACAGAGGTCCAATACACTCAACTCTTCAATTCTTTGGTAAGGCGTTGACATCAAAGCATATAATCAAGCACACAGATGGGATATTGATGTAGCTGCTGCAGTATATACTATTAATACCCCTTCCTCCCTCCACGTGGAATGTCCCATTTCCTATATAGGGGAGCAGTAGCGACCGTAGAACAGAATGCTCTGGGTGGGGTTGTGTCGGATGAAGAAGAGGAAGGGGTGGTCGGCAACAAATTTTGGTGTCCTCATGGCACAGCGCATCATCATGATGGCGGCTGTGGCGCCCGCTGCCTCTGTTCCCTCCTCGTTGACCTCCACAAAGGCCTTGTGAATCACCTCGGACAGCACCAGGTCGTTGCTGGGCGACATGCCCGAGAAGTCACTTTTGGAGTCGTCGAAGGCGTCCGTCATGCCCATGCTGACCAGCAAGTCCTTCAGGTCCAGGCTCTCCTCCAGCTTGAACTTGGGCAGGCCCACCTGAACCTCCACTGTGTCCATCATGTCAGGCCTGGTCCACTCCACAAGGTTATTGTATGTCAGCTCCTTCTCCAGCTGCGTTGTGGGGGGGAGGAGACAAAGTCAAGACATTGACACGTCTAAAGTATGACAATGACTTTTTTTGGTGTGAGCTAACCGTATAACTAGCTTTGTAATTCAAGTTAACTTAATTCTCCACATCATTATGCAAATGCAGATATTTCAATTGAATGCTGTGCAGTTACATGTGTATTGTGTTGGCCACAAAACCATCTTGTTGAATGTAAATGTGAGTCCTACCTTCTTCAGACCAGTGGTGTCATCCTCCATCTCATTAGGTAGCATGATGAGCATGCTCAGTTCGTTCCCTACGTAGGGCAGCTCCAGAATCTGGCAGTTGGCCTCTGGGATGAAGGTCAGGGGGAACTTGGCCTTCTGATGCATCATTTTCACTGGCTTACTCTCATTCTGCACTCAATGAACGGAAAGGTAGGGAGTCACACACTATTTTGTTAACAGTTGCCTTCTTGTGTGTAATTTGTGACTACAAAGTATTTTCACCATTTTAGCAAAGGTTACTCATGAAAGTGAAGCAAGCTAGAACGTTACTCTCACAATAGACTCAGAAGGGATGACTGGAACCGACTACAGTAACAGTTCAGTGGAAGCCAGCTCTTTTCTTTAGAAGTACTACTCTAAAGACAGATAATGAGTGATCACCACATTCATTGCGCAAACAGACACATCAGAAAAATAAATGAAAAGGCACTCCTCAGATTGTGTCGGGACTTCGTTCTGTATATCAAGCTGGTTGGGGAAACACTACCTTGTTCAGTTTGAACAGGGCATCGCTGGTGCTGGTCTCTTTGAACTTCTTCTCCCAGTTGCCCTTGAAGTAGATGGCATTCACCAACACTAGTCTGGTCAGGTGGTCGACAATCCCTTCCGCCAATAGGTTCTTGATTTTCTCTACAAAATACAGAGGCCATATAACTTACAGAAGTGATGGTAACATTGTAACAAGGTGTAGTTACATAACAAATCAAACAGATACATCATGGACACCTAATGGATTTAAAATCCATATGAACAAAATGTATGTAATTAATTAATTCTCAATCCAGTCCCTTTGATTTTTACACCGAATTTGAGAATATTTAGCATTCAAAATGTCAGTGAATAATATAATCAATACATAGGCTGTTTATAAATAGAGTTAATATTATTGTGCACATGGAGACAGCTTGCGGCATCTAATCACCTGCGGTCTGGTTCTCCACCCAGGCGTTAATGTTCTGTCTGGCAGTCTCCGCATTGGACTTGAAGTCCACAGCCTCCAGCTCGGCATTGTAGTGCTTCTTGGTGTCGCCGAGGAAAGTCTGTCACATTTACCAGAGACACAAAGATAAACACAGTCAATATCCTAGCTTTATCAATCCCTAAGTACCTAAAATAGTGTCTAGTCTACAATGATGTACAGTATAATTGTATGTACAGTCTAATGATTGCATTTTCCTGGATATTCTATCCATTCTATCTTTTTGCTGACAACTCTCTTCGTCATATGTTCCAACGAGTAATGAAATGCATAATGACCTCTAACCTAACACACTGTGATTCATTAGGGTCAATTCAGATTGAGCACAAATATCTAATCTTAGACACCCACTTACTCCACTCACTGTGTAAACAATAGGGCTTTACCTCAACAAACTGGTAAGACTGCTCTCCGTATAGGCGATTGGCCAGGCTCAGTGCGTACGGGGCTCCCTTCTTGTTCAGTTCACTCATGAGTTTGCTGAAGCCGACATGGACGTTATCCGTAGCTTTGTGGAGGTGCAGGGACTGCAGACAGGAATATAAAAATAATATTTACAAAAGTGACATTGTGGTAGCATCTTCCTGTAGCATCCATGACATGCAAACCCCTAGCCGAAACACGACTCTTATGTTTTCTCAATAGTCGTGTTTCGGCTAGCAGACAAACCCTCCATTGTTTACTGTATTCATCCACCATATCACCATATAAAGAAATGTTTTCAGGAAAAAAAAGTGTAAACATTAAAATGCATCCAAACATCATAACTTCTGTCGTTTTGACATTTGGTGGTTGAACATGCCCAGCACAGATTACGTTCATGTTGCTCTCAAAGTGGATAAGGAATCCTTGGTATGTGTGAGTGTGACAAGACTTTCATGTTTTATATTTCCGTTTTCAGATGGCAGCTTATCAAGGGTTATGAAAAATATAGATAATGGCAAGTTGAAACGGAGAAGAAACCTTATAAAAGAAAGAATATGCTTGTGTTCCCTCAAGTCCCAAATGTACCTACGACATTTTGCACATAGGCTATAAGATGATTTGTGTATTAATTTGTATGGGGCTTATATCCCCTCACATACGTACTGTAAACAAACCACATAGAAGACAGAAAACACAGACCCCACACCAAGACTATCCAACCCTTTTCCGGGAGAGCTACGTCCTGTAGGTTTTCGCTTCAACTAAAGATAAGATTAATAAAGTTAGATACATCTTGGAATGGAGCGAAAACCTACCAGAGGGTAGCGCTCCAGGAACAGGGTTGAAGAGCCCTGCACCCACACTGATAGTAGTACCTTGTTCCCACCAGTTGGCTACCTCACCAACAGCCCAATGTTAAGTGGAAGCAAGCTCTCTTTGAACCCCCTGGGTTACCCATTCCTTACTATATACTTATATTAGCACCTTTATCAGAGCCAGCGGAAGCTGGGGCTTTTGTACTTGCTGGAGTAGTCCTGGGTCAGCCTTTTTAGATTTGTCTGCGTTGACAAAGCAGAGGACCTAGTGGAGGTCAGTATGATAATTGGTTATCGTTTTTGAACAGCATAGATGTGGGGAGTGGGTGGAATACGACACTGTGTGTGCGTGTGGCTGGCGAACTTTGTAGGTTCCAGAAATAATCCTTCAAAAAGTAATGTAGGGCAGTAAATTATGGCCGTTGAGTCCTTGACAGGTAAAGAAATTGAGACCACCCCTACAATATTTGTTCTGTGAAGATTGCTCAATAGGAAGGTATCCATTCTTGTCCCACCCTTGTGTACTCTAGACTCACCCTTTTTATGACCTCAACTCTACACTGCTGCTATTTCATCACTACCTACATGTAAAGAAGGGCTTTAGTCACATTGGAAAATACATTCCATGGTTATTATAATACATCTGCTGGCTGACAGCTAAATGGAGGTTGTACAAATTAATATATTTTTTTAACTGTCAGTGCCTCGCCCCCTGATCCCATGAAAACGTAAGTGTTTATCTGGCACCTCCATGACTACTAGCTGTACACAGACACGCGGAACAGAGAGACTGATAAGAGGGATTACTTTATTGCTCTCCATGTTGCCACAGTAACAGCCAGTGTGTACTCAAATAAAGCCTCATCTGCTGACTAAAAGGAAGCCTTCTGTGAATCATCATGGATAGTTTACCCATTTGTCAGCCACACCCTTTCCTATTCATCTCAGAAAATCCCTGTGAAAAACCTTTCCAGTGTAAGGGAGAAGCTATAGTCAATTTAGGTGCACTGTTAAATAAATGTTCCTGTGCATGTGACTAAATAAAAAATCTAATCTAATCTAGTCTTGATGCAAGTTTACATTACAGACAGGATAATGACAAAAAGTAAAGGCTACATTATCCAATCTTTGTCGATAGTGACCCGCCTATAACAAACTATTTTATCAAATATATTTGTATTCATTCCAGTACCATGGTGCTGTCTGTATACTATATGTGCACACTAAACAGGATAATCAACATAAGTATAGTTGGATAAGAAGTCACATGGGTGAGAGTAAGATTATTATGTTTGAATGTATGCGTTTTTGGATGGACGGGATCCCCGAAAATGGGTCACACTCACTCACCTCTGACATCTGGGTAGCAGTGTTACCTCTGGCTCCCAGGGACACCATGGCCAGGGCAGAAGAGATGCTGAGAGGGGAGTAGAAGATATTGCCTGTTTTGTTGCTCTCTGTGATCTTCTTGAACAGCTCCAGAGAGAAGTTGGTGTTGGCCACAGACACTGATGCCATTGTAACAGGTGGGAGAGACAGGCAGGCAGGCAGAACTTTGGAAGAAAAGTTAAGAAGTTAGTGTCAGTGGGCACTGCGTCTAAAACTTCATTGTAACAGAGCAGTCATATACAGTAGCCTATACAATGGAATGCAATTATCGCGAGTGCCATCTTGGGCTGATGCGAAAGAAAAAGTAGGCTAAAGAACATATAATTAATGTAGTCTAGCTAGTAGTCTGATTAATCAGGCTGTGTAATACACAATTAATTGGTATATACAGCTTGAAACTAATGCCTGCACAATTGTGTAAATGTTCCTTACAAGCCAGAATGTTTAATAAAATTACATTTAAACTTACTCTAACAATTAATTGTGTATTACAGCCTGATTAAATCATTGCCTGACCACTCAAACTGAATTCTTCCTCTGCTCTATCGTTCGCTACATACTTGCGAACGAGTATGTACATCATAGTGGTGCACGGTTCAGCTGTTTGTTCACCCGCACCCGCCCGCAATTGCTAATAACCCATCCACAACCGCCCGACTACACACAGAGTGTACAAAACATTAAGAACACTTTCCTAATATTGACTTGCACCCCCTTTTCCCCCTCAGAACAGCCTCAATTCGTTGGGCATGGACTACAAGGTCTCAAGCGTTCCACAGGGATGCTGGCCCATGTATCCCGAGTGGCGCAGTGATCCTGGTTCGAATCCAGGCTCTGTCGTAGCCGGCCACGACCGGGAGACCCATGGGGCGGCGCACAATTGGCCCAGCGTCGTCCAGGGTAGGGGAGGGAATGGCCTGCAGGGATGTAGCTCAGTTGGTAGAGCATGGCTTTTGCAACGCCAGGGTTGTGGGTTCGATTCTCACGGGGGGCCAGTATAAAAAAGTAATGTATGCACTCACTAACTATAAGTCGCTCTGGATAAGAGCGTCTGCTAAATGACTTAAATGTAAATGTTGACTCCAATGCTTCCCACAGTGTCAAGTTGGCTGGATGTCCTTTGGGTGGTGGACCATTCTTGATACACACGGGAAACTGTTAAACATGAAAAACCCAGCACCGTTGCAGTTCTTGACACACTCAAACCGGTGTGCCTGGCACCTACTACCATACCCCGTTCAAAGGCATTTAAAACACATACACAATCCATGTCTCAAGGATTACAAATCCTTCTTTAACCTGCCTCTTCCCCCTCATCTACACTGATTTAAAGTGGATTTAACTGGTGACATCAATAAGAGATCATAGCTTTCACCTGGTCAGTGTTACGGAAAAGGCAGGTCTTCCTAATGTTTTGTACAGACAGTGTATGTGAAAGTGAACATTTGAGGCCCACAACCGACCCAAACTGGCTTATAGAAAATGCGCTGTCGGCTACAGTCAAAGCCGGCAGAACGATTTTTTTGCCAGAGGGTGCAGTTTTTTTTGTTGTTGCCTGATTTAGATATGTTTCTGCTTATACTTTCCAACATTTTGGTAGGCTATTTGTTAGTCCACTTGACTATTTATTAGATACATGCATCTTATCTTCGGTCATTAGATGAATAGCCTATATGTTGCCCTAGAAAACGAAACCCTTGCTCACCGGAGTGTCATTAATCGATGAATGCTTCAATCAGTTGACATCGGTAAAGTTCTGTCATCTGCTTCTTTCACAGAGAAAATACATTTATGGATCGGGAGAAAATGAAATATCCCCAAAAAACTTGTAACGATTTTCTGGGGCAAAATGTCCAAATTACATCAGTTTGACCAATTGTAACGAAATAGAACGCTGTGAGAAGATTTCAGTTTGGCTTGGCTGGATATTTTATGTGGTTGAAAGAGGTTGATAGCAGTGCCGGCTATGTTATATGTAATATTGTGAGGCGCTATACAAATTCGACAGTCACAAGATGGGGACTTCAAATAGGACTATGGCACGTCAAGGGAACTGTAGCCTACTGTTCAGACGGCTTAAATGGAAACTGAACTCTGGACTGACTGTAGGTCTAGAACCTCTCACATAGCCTTAATATTAACTCCTGCAGAATTAAGCATTTCTTGCAGTAAAATGGCACTGACTGTAGGTCTATACAGACTGTATTTAACTGCGCATTCGCATTATCTCAAGATGCTGAAAGAAATCACATTTCTCCACTCTTATTCCCAAGTCAAAATGTAGCTAACATTTGCTGTACCATTTTACTGCAAGTTAATATTAAGGCTATGTGAGGGGTTCTAGACCTACAGTCCCCGCTCCCACTTACCGTCAACCAATCATATCAATGCAGTGCTATACAGAGCCCTCCATGTTGTTACAACATTGAGAGGCGCACAGCGATCCTGCACAGACAGAGCTCAATGTGGCCTCTGCGTGCCTCTGGAGGCACACCCTCCATTCGGAGTTTTCAACCTCATTTTCGAATCAAAACATACATTTGCCCTTACGCACTAATGCCAGATAGGTTTTTCTTTGGTTTAGGCTAAATGTAGCCTATAGATCTAAATTGCACAAAAATTATACATTTATGGTTTTTAATGTTTTGTCTTTATTCAACATGGCCGCCACCCACCCACCCGCCCTTCATCCACACAATATTAATTTATCCGCGGGGTGGATATAAGCGCGGGGACTGCGGGTTGAGTCAACATACATCATACATCATTGCGGAGAAGAAACTAAAGTCCGTGGGCGTGGCGTAGCGTTTGGCTGGAGCAAGGAGTTTGGGTTACCAGTAGCCAGGCAAGATTTTTCAACGATCTAGTTACCCACCTACGTTGATTAGAGTTATCAATGTCCAGTCCCCTTTGATCTTACATTGATGGTGTTGTCTAGATAGCCAAGTAAACAACAATAGGTCTTATTATGCTAAATAAAGTAATTCACCAATTAAAAAAGTAATCGCAACCAACCTGAAAATCCGTTTATCAGGATGGCAAATGGCAACAGGGTTAACATTTAAAAAAAATAAGTTAGTCAGTGCCTTCACCGGTAGATTGAGAAAATATTTTATTACAGCAACTCACCAATTAATGGTTCTTTATCAATGTCAGGTAGTGCTCTCTTCAGCCAGGTGACTTCAGTAGGTGGTTTACTACAGACGAGTTTCAGCTAACCACCGGAAATATGTAATTTACAAGACAGACACGCCCTGTGGGGGTAGTCACTAGTTACCACAACCACAGTCATAAACCCCGCCTATTTCTAACATTTATAAAATCTGATTTTAAACGTAACCCTAACGATAACCTTAACCACACTGCTACCCTTAAATTAAGACCAAAAAGCACATTTTTATTTTCACGAATTTTACAATATAGCTAATTCTGACTTTATGACTGTGGTAACTAGTGTAAACACCCGGTGGGCTGTCAGTGCTCTTCCGCATTCTCATCAGCTGACTACTACGGCAAGCCAAGTGGATAAAACTGTACTGTGAAGAAGTTTATTTATTTATTTTATTTTTTACCTTTATTTAACTAAGGTACAAACAAACTACATACAAGCAGTGTAGGACCTAATTACAACAGACTGAAATAAACAAGAATGTTGGGGCATTTTGTATTTATTGCTGTTAATTCCAGGAAAACAGATCAACAATTTGCATAAAATCAAAATTCGTTCTAGAAATATATTTGACCTTTCCAGTACAATAACATTTAGATATCAAAGAATACAGTAAACATACACCTTAAGGTAACAGTGAGTGTACCCTCTACAGTACAGCATTTTTAACCATATATGTTCAACATGTACAACTGGCAGGTTAATATGTACAATTGTCCTCCATGCTCACATGGTTCTTCAATCATCCAGCCGATTTTGTAAAGCAGTCCACACATTTTCTTTCCCTGTGTTCATGTCCGCACTGTTCCAAGTTTGCCTCAATATTTGAAGTAATTGCAAGAAATCTCTGCTTCCATCAAATCAAGCAGAAGAAATGTAGAATACTTCACCGGTTGGTGGAGACAAAGTGTGGCTACTCATGAAAATGGACATAACTTCTCATATCAACAAACAAGTGTGTACTGTAAGTGTAATATGCCTATATGCCATTTATAATGTGTAGACCCCAAAGCTTAAACAGACACGAAAGAGCTCTAAATGATTGACAATTATCTCAAGGGATATGATGTCTGAGAAGGCCAGGGATTGACATTGAAGCCTGAAAGGCACTTGCCCATCGTCAAGTCAGGATAATTTTTTGGTTGTCCGAAGACTATGATCACTTGCCCGAAAATGTAAATGATCTATTTACAGGCAGTAAGTAAGTGCCATATATTGCCTGCATTTCACCTACACATAGGAATCAGAAAGATTGATTTAATTATTTGTATTTTGGAATAATTCTTCCATTTTGTACATCAGTTAAAAACATTCTCAGAGAAGGCTCAACTTGCCTGACAGAAATAAATTGTCTGTCTTTCACTTATTAAACAATGGGAAGGAAATGGAAAGATCAGATTTAGGCTACTGGAATTCTTTGCAGTTTAGTTGTTTTCAAAAATCTAATAAACTGCCCAATATGGCAACCTCAGAGCAGGGTCAACTTGCTCAACTGCTCAGTTCACTTGCTCCAGGCAATATGGCAACCCTTAATGTCAATCCCTGGAAGGCTACCAATCCTGATATTCAAAAAGCTCCAGTCAGACACCTCCATTAGTGTTCACACTTTTCATTTTCATACTCACATGAAAACATCAATTTATAGCGTGTATGTGCATAGATTTGAGTACATTTAACAATGTACAAACATATGCCATACAGTTAGATCTCACTGCTGCATTGAAGGAAGAAGAAACATAGTGTCTAGGAAGGCTACATGACACCTGCCTTTGCCACCACAGTCCTGTAGAAATGGCTAAAGAAAATATAGTTATTTTCAGAGGAGAACATGTTATCACTTATAGTATTATCCCTCCTAACCACTGATGCTCCACATGGCACCACCTTGTAGCCCGACTTTGCAGTGCAGTGCAACATTTCCAAGAGAATACTGGATGGAGGGGCAGCAGTGTAGCACAGTATAGAGCGTCACTGCTGCAATAACATCTGTGTCTAGGTTTGATTTTAGGACTGTTTCAGTGCACTTGAGAGACTTCAGAATTCCTGGTAGCTATAGTGCACGTTACCAAAAATAAAAACACAGCAGCATTTAACTTCTATATGACAGACATGATGATTAAGAACATCTTACTATGTGTTTCACATTATATCAAGTGGCAAATGCTTTAAGAATCCCCCCCCGAAACTGCCAGATTCCTTAACATTAATAAGTAAATGTTGTACATTCAAAAACACTGCAGCGAAAAAGAGAAAAATAATCAGTTTCTTTTTTTAACATTTACTTTTTTGTTGGTTTGCATTCATCTTTCGTAGCTGTACAGTTAAACAATACAAATCCTAGTCGAAGAACAATAATAAGTAGGTATAAATATACCGTTATAAAAAACAAAGTATATGGAACTCTTTCATCGAGATCACGCAGGATCCCCATGTATTCTGAGAACAAAATAATTTTGCGAAGCTCCCATACACATGATGTCTTAAAAAAAAAAAAAAAAAAAATCTAATAATATAAGAAATAAGTTAGTAAACATGAGCTGCTGTCTTGTGCCAGTCTTCAGTGCAAAATACCAAAAGCCACTGGGGGATTGGTGGGGGGTATGCGTCTCTATGGAAACGAGACAGCTTCACCCTCAGCTGTGATGGGGATGTCTCTGGCACAAGTACTCAGGACCCTCCTCGCACACGCTCTTTAAAAATGTAAAACCAAAAACGTGAATAGCTAGGTTTCCATCCAATTGACGACATATTTTCATGTGAATATTCTAAAATCGGCATAAACAAAATATGCGCATTTTCCCACCAGAAGTGTTTCCACCAAACTGACTTGTTGTGGATAAAAATCAGTGCATGATAACGTAGTGCACACAAAATGTACTTTTTCACTTACATTTTCATGTACCAAATAAAAATCTAAAGTTCAATGTGTTTCCATCGCATTTTCATCTCTACGGATAGTTTTGTCACAAACTGTTGCGTTAAATTGCAAATGTGCCGACTCCGGTCTTGGCATGTGCTCTAGCCAACAGCTCCCAGATACAGTGCGGTAGGCTAGTCTACATGATGAGATTATTATGGATAAGAGCGAGAATATTTGCATTTGTTAAACGGCAGTCAAGCATCGATCATCATGTCACCAGAATCTGACATTTAATGGAAAGGAGCATCAAGATCACCGCGCATTTTCACCTCCCTGTGAAGTTCAACATAAATTATTTAATCTGTAGCCTAATAAACTGCATGGTTTCCCCGAGTCGTAGTGGGAGGACCACACACCATATCATCGCATTACTCCAAGTTTACTTCAATATGATGGTTATTATATCAATATTTGCGCATAAAGGCATTTCCATCGCATTTTACCTACACAAAAAGATCCCACCTTGTCTAGCATATTTTGTTTTGTCGAGATCTGGAAAGTTTACCGACACATTTTTATTTCCATCAGGCCTGTCATGAATTTTTTTATCCGACATGTATTTACCCGCATAAAAAAGTTGGATGGAAACCTGGTTAATGCCAGGGAAACGTTGAGTGATGCTCTCTTGAAATGGAGGGGTCTCTGACCGCTCATGACAAGAAACAAGATGGCGGAATGAGAAGACTTCTTCAGTCGGCGTTGTCTAGTGCTTCGGAAGAGTGGGAGGCGGCGTACTTCAGCCGAAAGCCACCTGAAAAACAGAGGGGAGGGGAGGGGAGGGGAGGGGAGGGGAGGGGGCGTCAGTCGAACAAATAAGAAATGGGAAACGATAAAAATAAACAGAGAAAGTAAGCAAAAAGACAAGGTTCCACTGAGATGTCTACAAATTCCCAACCTGCACCTAATCGTTTCCTCTGCTTGACATGTGTGTCATGTCATTTGGTCTGTGTTTTTCATTTTTAACTGTTCTGCTGTGTTTTGTCTTTGCCCTGCTAACAGAGAGTTTGAGAGAAATGTCCACAGGTCTCCTGAGATGAAAGAGCCCTTTACAGCAGCTCCTGGCTCTAAATAAGTCCTGCAAATGGAAATGGGGGTGGCTAATAGTCTGGTTTTGGGGGGTAGGGGGTGGGGAGGGTTACTGCAAAGGTGTGACTTACCAAGCTTGATTAAGGGTGCCCTCTGTGTGGGTGGGTGTAGGGCACTGGTGTGTAAGAGAGAGATCAAGAGCGGGGTGAGGGGGGTCAGTCCTGAGGGCTGACCTCTACTTGGGGGGGAAGTGCTGCAGGGGGGGCGGAGGGGGCCGTCCGAAGAGGCCAGCGGCCGCCCCTCCCCGCTCCACCCTGCCCCTGGCGGTGGCGCTATTACCTTGCTGTGTCGAGTCAATGGAGGGCTGTTTGCAGTCCTGTGCGTAGTGGCCACTGACCCCACAGTTGTAGCACGAGACGTTGGCGTTCTTCTTGTTGACGCTGACTGCTACCCCCAGGGCACCTCCGCCTCCTGCCCCGGGCACCATGCCCACACTGGAGGGGTAGATGTGTGGGTAGAAGCGGCTGTAAGGTGCCATCTGCTGGAGGCTGTAGCCTTGCTGTGTGCCCAATAGGTGGTCAGAGTGGGAGTGGGGGTGTGTGTGCAGCAGGGTCTGGCCGGCGTAGGGGGCCGGGGCGGATGGGAAGAAGGGCAGCTGGGCCTGGCCGTTGCTCTGGAGGGGCGGCTGGCTGAGGTAGCTGCTGTTGCACAGGGACGTCAGCTGGAAGATGGGCGGCACACCGAACACCTGCCGCGGCGGCATCTGGTGGGGGAAGAAGAATGAAGGCGCCGTGTGGCTGTTGTTGCTGGTGCCGCAGCCTCCCCGGCAACCGCACGCCCCGCAGCACATGGGCTGTTGCTGGGGGGTCGCCTGCTGCTGCTGCTGCTGTTGTTGTTGCTGCTGTTGTTGTGGTTGCGCTTGATGCTGGGCGACGAGGTTACTGGCACAGTTGGTGCTGTTGATGTAGGAGGTGGAGTCGCTCTGTGCCGTGCTGTGGGTAGGGGCAGGGCTGGGGCTGGGCGCAGGACCGGGGTTGTGGGTGGGCACAGACGGGGGCACCACCGCCTGAACCTGTCCAGCTGTGGGCACTACCCCTACTCCGGCTACCCCTGCCCCCAGCGTGGCCATGACGGAGGTGGGGATGGGGGGCATGGTGTATGGAGAGGGCAGGCCTGAGGGAAGAGCCATGCCCGGGTGCTTGGCGTGAGGGATGCTAGGTTCCCCTAGGGGTACAGAGGGGGGTAGGGGGGTGGCGGCAGGGTCGGGGTAGGCCGGCTGCAGGGGTGAGGCATAGGGCGGGCCGGGAGCGATGACGCTGATGGCTCCAACCGGGGGCTGGTGGGCAGGGGGGGCGGTGACACCCTCAGAGGTGGCAGTGGCCTTAGGAGGGGCCGTCTTGAAGCGCTGGACCAGGGGCTGCAGGGCAGGGCTGCCAGGGGGGTGTAAGCCCAGGGCGGGGGAGCCAAACCCTGGAAGCACCATGGGCACTGCAGCAAGGGCATCCCTCTTCTCTGTGTCCCCTGGCACAGGAACTGGCACTGGGGTGGGCATGGGCTCTCGGAGGACCAGGGGCACCTGCATGATCAGTCCTCCTACAACCTTGTTGTCTACCAGGGCCGCTGCCACCTGAGGAGGGGGCAGGACTGGCAGAGAGGCATCGGCGGGCAGTGCTCCATTGGGCAACATGTAGGGCAGGGGGTGCATAAAGGTGATGGGGGGAAAGTTGGGGATGGTCTCAGGGCAGAGGTGCTCCCCAGCAGGCTTGGCAGAGGCCAGGGGGTGGATGGTGGGCAAGCCCCCCCCTGCAACCTCCTGGCAGGGGAAGAGAGCGTCCGCTCTGCCCTGGCTGCTGGAGTCGTCTGAGTGACTATCTGTATCTGTGTGAGAGAGAGCGAGAGGGAGACAGAGAGCGAGGGGAACAAGTCTTAGTGCTCCTGTCCAAAAACCTAAACAAGCACAAACTCTAATAATGGTGTGTGTGTGAGTGGGTGTGCGTGTCACCTTTGTCCTTCTCGTCCTCACTGTCCAGGCTCTCTGGTCCGTCGTGCTGGGGGCTGGAGGGGGAGCTGTAGCTCTCAGATGAGGTGTCTCCGTACACGTCCTGACTGAAGCCTCCGTCTAGACGGCCGTCTGGACACACACAACCTGAACATGAATGACACTAGATTTAATTAAATATGATTGCAAAGCTTTGATTTAGATCAAATAAAACATTTGAAGGCATATGAGTGTGCTAAGGCATTCAAATAAGTAACTCAAAAGACTAAAAAGCTATGCCCTATAAACTTGTACAACACTGCTCTCTGTTGATAAAATTAAGTTACTACAAGCAGTAAGCCTCCATTTCATCCAGACAACAAAAACACAATCTTTTTTCTCCACAGAGCATTTGATAGCGTTTCAGAGTCGACTGGGATAGGAAGAAGACTGCCAGGGAAAATTAATCTCCATAGATTCCCACCTTTCCCTGTCGGTTGTCGCGTTCGCTGAGAAGCCGGAGGCACCATGCTCCCATTCGTCAAGTAGGCAGCTCTTCCCTCTCCTTTCTTCCCCTTTTCCCTGGAGGAGAGAGATAGACAGGCGAGGGGTTAGTCATAAAGGATAAAGGAGGGAGGATAAGAGAAATTTAGGCCTGTGGCTTGTCAGATTAGTTGGTAGCAGGAGGAGACAGCTCTGTTTTTAGCAAGCTAGCTAGCGAAATGCTAAACCCTCTAGCCCAAATAGAAATGTTTCTAATAAGTAAATAGGGAGAAAAACAACTATATTTGAGGTCTCTGCTAGTTCTCAAAGTGCCTGTAGCAGTCGTCTGCCTGGTAGCTAGGCAGGGGGGATGGGGGATTGGGTGCCTTGGCAACCACCTCTTATGCAGACCGGAATTGTGACCTTAAAAAAAAAATGGAAAACAGCTTACATGCTAAACCATCTCTAGCTCTGCTGTTAGCATGCTAGCATAATGCTATGCCCTCTCTGTCAGGCCCTATGGTGCGGGTGGGGGTTCCTGAACTCAGTCACAATGTTTTAGCGTTTGCTTCCCGAGCCCGTCATTCCTGTCATGGCCACGTTTGTCTGAGTGCGCGATGCGTGCTCGGCACCTATCACAACGTAGAAACTGTACGGTCAAGCCGGTTCAGTGTTGAGCCAGTATGTCTGAATAGGGAAGTCTCTTAACTGTCAGTCAATGTTAGGACCATTTTAGAAGGCGAGTGATAATGACTGTATTCACTGGGTGGGTGACTGACTGTCTTCTTGCCATGATAGATTATGAGCAGATGAGCAGATTCAACCGTAAGTCAGGGTTGAATATTGATATAGGATACATCCCAAATGGCACCCATTTCCCTATATTGAGCACTACTTTTGACCAGAGGCCTATGGGACCTGGGCAAAAATAATGCACTATACAGTATCTCACAAAAGTGAGTACACCCCTCACATTTTTTTAAATATTTGAGTATATCTTTTCATGTGACAACACTGAAGAAATGACACTTTGCTACAATGTAAAGTAGTGAGTGTACAGCTTGTATAACAGTGTACATTTGCTGTCCCCTCAAAATAACTCAACACAGCCATTAATGTCTAAACCGCTGGCAACAAAAGTGAGTACACCCCTAAGTGAAAATGTCCAAATTGGGCCCAATTAGCCATTTTCCCTCCCCGGTGTCATGTGACTCGTTAGTGTTACAAGGTCTCAGGTGTGAATGGGGAGCAGGTGTGTTAAATGTGGTGTCATCGCTCTCACACTTCCTCATACTGGTCACTGGAAGTTCAACATGGCACCTTATGGCAAAGAACTCTCTGAGGATCTGAAAAAAAGAATTGTTGCTCTACATAAAGATGGCCTGGGCTATAAGAAGATTGCCAAGACCCTGAAACTGAGCTGCAGCACGGTGGCCAAGACCATACAGCGGTTTAACAGGACAGGTTCCACTCAGAACAGGACTCGCCATGGTCGACCAAAGAAGTTGAGTGCACGTGCTCAGCGTCATATCCAGAGGTTGTCTTTGGGAAATAGACGTATGAGTGCTGCCAGCATTGCTGCAGAGGTTGAAGGGGTGGGGGGTCAGCCTGTCAGTGCTCAGACCATACGCCGCACATTGCATCAAATTGGTCTGCATGGCTGTCGTTCTAGAAGGAAGCCTCTTCTAAAGATGATGCACAAGAAAGCCCGCAAACAGTTTGCTGAAGACAAGCAGACTAAGGACATGGATTACTGGAACCATGTCCTGTGGTCTGATGAGACCAAGAAACTTATTTGGTTCAGATGGTGTCAAGCGTGTGTGGCGGCAACCAGGTGAGGAGTGCAAAGATAAGTGTGTCTTGCCTACAGTCAAGCATGGTGGTGGGAGTGTCATGGTCTGGGGCTGCATGAGTGCTGCCGGCAATGGGGAGCTACAGTTCATTGAGGGAACCATGAATGCCAACATGTACTGTGACTTACTGAAGCAGAGCATGATCCCCTCCCTTCGGAGACTGGGCCGCAGGGCAGTACTCCAACATGATAACGACCCCAAACACACCTCCAAGACGACCACTGCCTTGCTAAAGAAGCTGAGGGTAAAGGTGATGGACTGGCCAAGCATGTCTCCAGACCTAAACCCTATTGAGCATCTGTGGGGCATCCTCAAACGGAAGGTGGAGGAGTGCAAGGTCTCTAACATCCACCAGCTTCGTGATGTCGTCATGGAGGAGTGGAAGAGGACTCCAGTGGCAACCTGTGAAGCTCTGGTGAACTCCATGCCCAAGAGGGTTAAGGCAGTGCTGGAAAATGATGGTGGCCACACAATATATTGACACTTTGGGCCCAATTTAGACATTTTCACTGAGGGGTGTACTCACTTTTGTTGCCAGCGGTTTAGACATTAATGGCTGTGTGTTGAGTTATTTTGAGGGGACAGCAAATGTACACTGTTATACAAGCTGTACACTCACTACTTTACATTGTAGCAAAGTGTCATTTCTTCAGTGTTGTCACATGAAAAGGTATACTCAAAGATTTACAAAAATGTGAGAGGTGTACTCACTTCTGTGAGATACTGTATAGGGAATAGTGATCACCTGTCTGGTTCCAGTGCTCGTGGCTTGCTCTTGGTGGCAGGGTGGCTGCTTCTCTTCTCACTGTCCTGATGCTGCAGACAGAGGAAAAATATATATTCAGACAACGGAACATTCAATGATACAAGCTAACAGGTGTGTTAAGATTTGGGATGGAGAAAAAGCCTGCACATTCAATTAGCTCTCCAGGAGGAGGGTTGATTTATCATGTAATATTCCTCATACAACCACAGGAGAAAGGAAATCTAAAGTCTGTGTCTTTAAAACCTATAGCTCCAAGGGGACTATACCATGTGCCAGAGCAGGGTGCCAGAGCAGGAATGCCATAGTGCTGCTGCCTGTTACACAACCCCTGTCACATGATGAGGGCCACATGAATGAGGCGGTGCTGGACTCTGACCCAGAGCTATAGTGGGGGGGGGGGGGGGGTCAAAGGGCACATCGCTTCATCCTGGCTAACGCTGATAGCAATCCTATTGCTGCTGAGCTAGACATGTTATTACTGCTGCTGAGGGCTGTGACCTTGGAGCACACACACACTCTTGTATAACTAACCTTGTGAGGACACACAAAATACTATACCCTAACCCTAGCTCCTAACCCTACTTCTAACCTTAACCCGAAATCCCCTAGAAATAGCATTTGACCTTCTGGGGACTAACAAAATGTCCCCAGTTGGTCAAATTTGTGTTTGTTTACTATTCTTGTGGGACTTCTGGTCCCCACAAGTATAGTTAAACACAAACACACACACACACACACACACAGAGGTATATTGACATAAGATGTTAGAAATAATCAATGTGATTCTTGATGCCACTGTGAGATTGTGGCCTACGGTTCTGGATAGAGGGAAACTTCATCCCACATAGGTAGTAAAAACGTTTTGACAAAACAAAACTTTTTGGGAGCATAAATCAGTATGCGGCCAGGCATTCTCCCTATAGAGAGAATGTAACGTGCGCCATTCAATGAAAAACATCCATGCTTGCGCAGTGAGCAACGTAATCCGATCTATACTAGTTTATGTCAATAACTCTGTGAAGGGGAAGGTTTTTTTTACTCATTGGGGCCCTGTGTGTAATGATTCCTGAATGGACAAGCCCCCATTGTATAGGTTCCTTTGAGAAGCGCTGTGGGAAGAATGTGCTGGTTCAGTTGATTGCAAACATACTCTTGATTGATGTCACTAAGCCAAGAGAATAGTCCACTGGCCCCTGTCACATGGTTGTGGTGGCTGAAGAGTTGAATGTGATACACATTTACACACGCAAAGATGCTCTCACACACGCTTATGTTGTTTATACGGAGCATCAGCCCTAATTTGGTCACTGACACCACAGGCTAAAGTGGAGAAGTAGTGGAGCAATGTGTCAGCCATCTTAAAATGTAACATGTCTGCCTGGTCTAAATGAACTCCTTAGTCTGTGTAACCCAGGGTTGTCTGTCAATGTTCCTGAGGGGCCATTTTCAAAGTCAACAACAAAAACAACCAATCAGAATGTACTGTATGTTCATACATTGTACACAATGATACAAAACTATCTGAATAACAATGCCTCAATTGCTTAGCGTTAACTGTAAATTCATAGTTTTTTTGTGTGAGTTGGGATGCGTCACAAATGGCACCCTATTCCTTATATAGTGCACTGTGGCCCTGGTCAAAAGTAGTGCACTATAAAGGGAATAGGGTGCCATTTGGGATGTAGCCTTGTTTTCTGTCTCACCTGCTCTGGGCCCAGCCCCCCAGAGGCGTCCTGGTTGGGTTTGAGTGTGCAGCTCTTCCTCCTCCAGTCTGGCAGGCCGTTGTGCTCAGAGCCGTGGGGTCCCCGCCGACCGCTCTCACCCTGGGAACTTTTGGCATTGGGAATGCTGGGAAAAGGAGAGGCGGAATGAGAATCATTTTCATGTCTTTCATCAGAAACAAAACTATGGGCACTTGTGTAGATCTGCACTGTGGTGGTAGGGAGTACTCACTTGAAGGAGGAGTCACTCCTAACCACAGATCTAGGATTAGGTTACTCTACCCTCATTCCAAACCATATTCATTAGGTGGGGAGATAGACATATGACCACTTGACCAGTGGTTAGGAGCAACTTCTACCTACTACGGTGTTAATGTAGCACATGGGGATGTGTGAAACTCACTCCTCAGCCTGAAGTGTCCCCACTTGCACTGCCGAAAGCTTGTCGGTAGCGCGACTGGTAAGACGCTTCAGGAGGGCAGTCACGTGTGTTTGCAAGGCGGAGGTCTTGGGTTCGAGCCTCGGTATGAGCCGAGTGAGGAAAGCGGTACTCGTTAAGCAAGCAGCGTGACGTCTGTTATATTAAGTCAATAGGGGGCTTACTTAAGGCTGGAGCTCTTGCTGCCATGTGTCTTCCGGTGCCCCTGAACGTACGGCTCCAAATCTGAAGGGTAGAGACATTATTTATTCATTCATCTTTTTTAGTTGACAGGAACAATACGCTTTAAATCAACATTTCAGTTCACATCAAAACTCATTTCCATCCTTATCAGTCAGTAGCAACAGGCTTTTCTGTGCTGTCCTCAGTGAGGAACGTTGTAATGCATTATGACATAAGTTATTATACTAATAAGACATTAATTGGTTTAGCTAAGCCTTCAGTGAGAGTATATGCTGCACATCTGAATATCACAGCACTGTGGCCTGTGATTAGCCTGTGAGCCGAGAGCACGGACGACGTGCAAAATATAGCCTCGAAATGCAAGGGAGGGAAGAGACAAAGACAGAGAGTAAGAGAGGGAGAGAGAAAGAGAGAGAGAGATAGTCAGAGAGAGAGTGAGAAAGAGAGCCCAGGCTTTCCGAGCGCCCGCCCAAAATAAACAGAAGTTAGCGACATAGCGCTACTTGTTAGTCCTGGAGTACAGGACTTCCTCTCCTGCCCTGCCGAGCCAGAGAAAGAATCCTGTGCATTCCTCCCTTCCCCTCCCCCTGCTCAGTGGAAACTAAATTAAAAGACACCTAAAACAGAAATGTGACAGAGTATAAGTGCCCTATATTTCTGGTTCACACATGGTTAGCTGGCGAGCTACGTGACTTAACATAGGCTTTTTCATTGGAGTTTAGGCAAACCCCTGCGAGGAATAGTCTAGGCTAAATGTATCTGTAACAACCCTTCATCAAATCAACAACTCTCACTTCTCTTCCCACCAGTTAAGGTTTTACTAAGGTTAACTGTCAAAACTTCTCAGTCTCCCAGAATATACTTCTTCTAGATTCCGCCTCTGAACTGGGGACTAAACAGGGTTGGGATGAGGGGAGTGGGCTTCAGGGTGACCTGGGTTAGGGTGCGATGGAGCCCAATGATGTTAGGGGGTTAACCATGTTGGAATGAGTAGGATGAACAGGGTTGTGGGGTGAAGCAGGTTAGGGATGGGGGGTACTCACACACACCTTCCTCCTGGCTGGATGCCTCTGAGCAGTCCTCTTTGTATGGCTTCCCCAGGGCCACGGGGTTAACTGGAGAGAAACACACACACACACACTCAGTCTAATTCCATTATAATAAAAATGTTATGACTTACCCAGTGTGAAACTGCTATTAGTTTAATGTGAACAAGTATAATGACACATCAAGTCAGTCTTTTAGACAACCTAGTCAGGTGGCCCGCCATCACAAGTAGGGGAAGTCGAGCTAGGGGAAACTCTGCAGTTAATCATGGAGCACCTGATCTGAGCGGTCTCTCTCTGTGCGATTTGTGTCACCCTCTCCTTCTCTTCTTTACCATCTGGACCTTGTTGATCACTCAGCCCGTGTGTGGATCACTCTGCGGCGACACAGACACTCGATCGGGTCCCCGACACCCGCCTCTCCCACCTAGGTTGTCAGCCCTCTGCTGTCACCCACCACTGGTCTCTCAGGTAGGGCAGGGTAACCCTATTCCCTATATAGGGCACTACTTTTGACCAGAGCCCATAGGGAAAAGGGTGTCATTTGGGACGCAGCCTCTGATACCAGATGGCTTCAGTAGGAGACACAGTAGGGAGTGTAGGTATTGGCAAGAAAGCAGTTTTGACAAGTCAGTCTGATGTCTTTGATATTAAAGGGGAAGTATGGGGAGATGCTTGTTTCCCATGCAGCTACATGATGCATAATCATTCACATCCTATCCTTCATAAACAGTAATTCCATTGCAGTAAATCACTAAGACATCTAGGCAACACTTCACTTTAAGCAAACTGTATAATGCATTATGAGGCCAAGCTCTCTAAGGCCTAAATCATTCACACCTTTAAATTGACAGTAACTGGTACTGATGGCCAATGGCCTATCAACACCTCTAAACTCCCTCCATATCTCCTTTCCTCTCTCTTCCTTCATCCATCAATCTGGCGCTAGCTGGAGAGACTGACTGTGACCCTCTGCTACTTCTCCCTCTAATAAAATCTCCAGGAGTCACTGAGGTGTTTGTTAGCACAAATCAAATTCTCCCTGCTTGTTTCCCCTCTATCCTGCTCTGAGGGTACGAAATGGAAGGACATTTAATTTAGGTTGTGGAACATTTGCTCCGAATCCATTTTAACAGCACTGTTAATGATTCGGCAGCTCAAAGGACGTTCCAAAAACAGCAGGGTTTATAAGCGGAGGGAATACAGAAGGTCGGAGAGGGGTAAAGGGACTGACATTTACAGGATTAACCAAAAGGGGAAAATATTTAACAACTTTCATTCATTTTGTGTCGAACTGAGCCACATTAAAAGCTTTGAGTGCCTCCTCTGATCTAATGCTTCCTGTTATGACAAGAATAGGGTTGCTCAATTTCACTGATTTCCTCCAACTGAGAATATGACAAATACAGAGTCACAAATGGCAGCCTATTCCCCATACAAAGCACTACCCTGGTCCAAAGTAGTACACTACATAGGGGAATAGGGTGCCATTTGAGATGAATCCATAGAGTGGGGCCCAGAGAGAGGATGGGTAAAAATAGGTGGATTGCTAGCCATTGCGTTGAGAGTCAGTGGTAGTCCTCTGTAGTGCCAGTACAGTAGTCCTGAGGCTGAGTTATGGGTTGCTTCCAAAGTGGCACTCTATTCCCTATATAGTGCACTACCTTTAACCAGAGCCCTGCTCAAAAGTAGCACACTATATAGGGAATAGGGTGCCATTTGGGACACATCTATGGTGACGTGGCCCACTTCTGAACAGTATGTCCTGTTGGTGGGCCTGCCAGGGCATCGTGCTGCCTGCACCGCTCACCTCACCTGGGTGTCAACGCACAGCAGCTCTGCTCTGGGGGAAGGCTAGGGAGCTGTGGGTGATTCACGCACGTACACACTAAGCCTAGAGCCCACCTCAAGGCATACAGTGTATGTTTGTATACGTTCATGCATACACATGGTATGATAAGAGTATGCACGTACACACTTGCACTTATTATTAAAACACACACGTCCTCCTCCTGCTCTGTGTCCACAGGGCCTTCTCAAACCCCCTCCACTCCATAGCAGCCCCAGTCTGTTGATTTTGGATGATGTAGGATCCTTCCGGCAGCGCTTCTCCCTGGACAGCTGCCTGGGGGTCCTATTCATCAACCTGCTGCCCAGCCACAGCCATGGAGAGAGGGATGGAGCAACGCATGGATGAGCTGAGCTTTTGGCGGATGGCTAATGTACCATGATGTATCGTGATCCATGACATGAGTTAGAAGCATGATGACATGGCCATGGATGGTACTGTATGTCATTTGCATGCCTTATGATCATGTGATTTTAGGTGAGGGGGTTGGGGCTGCTGCTGCGGTGGAGGATTCACGCTAGTGATGGCGGAAAAATGTATACAGTTACATATCACAACATTATTCTGGATGATATTATATCGCTACTTTGACTCAAAGTTAGAGATGGGCATGTTTATTTGAATATCCGAACGGATGTTAGTATCCGATTACTTACGAGAGCATTAATAAAAAAAACAAATAGGCCTAATTTAAAAGGTTTTACCTAAAATTAGCTAAATACAAGGATAGACCATGACATTACAAATGTTAATAAAACAACAGTTTTATGACTGTTTTTATGAGTGCGCCCCATAAAAAATACATACAGGTAGCCTACACAATTTTCACTGTGTCACTTGCAGTGTTTCCCCTATGATTTATTTCAGCAGCAGTGGCAAAGATAGTGGTGGGGGCGTGGTAGTGGGCGTGGCCAATGGCAGGGTTTTATAGGTCATCCTCTTGGCCGTAGACACATTTTCAGTTTTAAAGCTCATTTCCTGCAATTCTACACATTTTGCCATGGCTTATGCTACCTGAGTGACTCAAACATTATAACAAAATCAATGCCATTCTTTGAATTTTAGATTCTCCCTGACTGTCTTATTTTTATTTAGGTGATAGTTAGTTCTCAAAGAATGTATTGCTCCATTATCTTTTCTACATACTTTATATCTGGTTTTAGTCATTTAAGTTTACACTGAAAACATTTTACCATCCCATTTTGTTTTCTTCAACAAGCCCCAAACTTATTTTTTTTGTGGTGGCCACACATGTAGGGGAAACACTGATTGTTATTGTCAATCAATCAATCTAAGCAGCACCTACAGTGGGGAGAACAAGTATTTGATACACTGCCGATTTTGCAGGTTTTCCTACTTATAAAGCATGTAAGGTCTGTAATTTTTATCATAGGTACACTTCAACTGTGAGAGACGGAATCTAAAACAAAAATCCACATTGTATGATTTTTAAGTAATTAATTTGCATTTTATTGCATGACATAAGTATTTGATACATCACAAAAGCAGAACTTAATATTTGGTACAGAAACCTTTGTTTGCAATTAAAGAGATCATACGTTTCCTGTAGGTCTTGACCAGTTTGCACACACTGCAGCAGGGAATTTGGCCCACTCCTCCATACAGACCTTCTCCAGATCCTTCAGGTTTCAGGGCTGTCGCTGGGCAATACGGACTTTCAGCTCCCTCCAAAGATTTTCTATTGGGTTCAGGTCTGGAGACTGGCTAGGCCACTCCAGGACCTTGAGATGCTTCTTACGGAGCCACTCCTTAGTTGCCCTGGCTGTGTGTTTCGGGTCGTTGTCATGCTGGAAGACCCAGCCACGACCCATCTTCAATGCTCTTACTGAGGGAAGGAGGTTGTTGGCCAAGATCTGGCGATACATGGCCCCATCCATCCTCCCCTCAATACGATGCAGTCGTCCTGTCCCCTTTGCAGAAAAGCATCCCCAAAGAATGATGTTTCCACCTTCATGCATCACAGTTGGGATGGTGTTCTTGGGGTTGTACTCATCCTTCTTCCTCCAAACACGGCGAGTGGAGTTTAGACCAAAAAGGCTCTATTTTTGTCTCATCAGACCACATGACCTTCTCCCATTCCTCCTCTGGATCATCCAGATGGTCATTGGCAAACTTCAGACGGGCCTGGACATGCGCTGGCTTGAGCAGGGGGACCTTGCGTGCGCTGCAGGATTTTAATCCATGACGGCGTAGTGTGTTACTAATGGTTTTCTTTGAGACTGTGGTCCCAGCTCTCTTCAGGTCATTGACCAGGTCCTGCCGTGTAGTTCTGGGCTGATCCCTCACCTTCCTCATGATCATTGATGCCCCACGAGGTGAGATCTTGCATGGAGCCCCAGACCGAGGGTGATTGACCGTCATCTTGAACTTCTTCCATTTTCTAATAATTGCGCCAACAGTTGTTGCCTTCTCACCAAGCTGCTTGCCTATTGTCCTGTAGCCCATCCCAGCCTTGTGCAGGTCTACAATTTTATCCCTGATGTCCTTACACAGCTCTCTGGTCTTGGCCGTTGTGGAGAGGTTGGAGTCTGTTTGATTGAGTGTGTGGATAGGTGTCTTTTATACAGGTAACGAGTTCAAACAGGTGCAGTTAATACAGGTAATGAGTGGAGTACAGGAGGGCTTCTTAAAGAAAAACTAACAGGTCTGTGAGAGCCGTAATTCTTACTGGTTGGTAGGTGATCAAATACTTATGTCATGCAATAAAATGCAAAATAATTACTTAAAAATCATACAATGTGATTTTCTGGATTTTTGTTTTAGATTCCGTCTCTCACAGTTGAAGTGTACCTATTATAAAATTACAGACCTCTACATGCTTTGTAAGTAGGAAAACCTGCAAAATCGGCAGTGTATCAAATACTTGTTCTCCCCACTGTATGTCAGAGGCGCCATGTTTGGCAAATGAAGTGGGAGATTCCTAATAAATGCCAAATGGAATTACAATAATGGAATTAACTTGGCTAGTGTAGCTAGCTATCTTCTTTAGCTACATCAATTTGATGCACTCCAGACAGACACTACCAGATGAGATGATAGGTAGATAAGCTATTGCAGCAACAAGAGGCCCACCCACTTGGCAGACAAGCCCACCCACTGGGGAGCCAGGCCCAGCCAATCAGAATGAGTTTTTCCACACAAAAGGGCTTTCTTACAGACAGAAATACTCCTCAGAACCCCCCACGCGTTCTCTGGAATGATGAATCACGCTTCACCATCTGGCAGTCCGGACGGACTAATCTGGGTTTGGCGGATGCCAGGAGAACGCTACCTGCCCCAATGCATAGTGCCAACTTTAAAGTTTAGTGGAGGAGGAATAATGTCTGGGGCTGTTTTTCATGGTTCCGGCTAGGCCCCTTAGTTCCAGTGAAGGGAAATCTTAACGCTACAGCATACAATGACATTCTAGACGATTCTGTGCTTCCAACAGTTTGGGGAAGGCCCTTTCCTGTTTCAGCATGACAATGCCCCCGTGCACAAACTGAAGTCCATACAGAAATGGTTTGTCGAGATCAGTGTGGAAGAACTTGACTGGCCTGCACAGAGCCCTGACCTCAACCCCATCGAACACATTTGAGATTAATTGGAACGCCGACTGCGAGCCAGGCTTAATCGCCCAACAGTGCCTGACCTCACGAATGCTCTTGTATACAATACAACAGGTGTAGACATTACCGTAAAATGCTTACTTACAGCCCTTAACCAACAATGCATTTATTTATTTGTTATAAAAAAGTAAAATAAAACAACAACAAAAAAGTGTTGAGAAAAAAAGAGCAGAAGTCAAATAAAATAACAGTAGGGAGGCTATATACAGGGGGGTACAGTTGCAGAGTCAATGTGCGGGGGCACCGGCTAGTTGAGGTAATATGTACATGTGGGGAGAGTTAAAGTGACTATGCATAAATAATTAACAGAGTAGCAGTAGCGTAAAAAGATTGGGTGGGGGGGGGGTAGTGCAAGTAGTCCGGGTAGCCACAATTAGCTGTTGAGAAGCCTTTTGGACCTAGACTTGGCGCTCCGGTACCGCTTGCCGTACGGTAGCAGAGAGAACAGTCTATGACTAGGGTGGCTGGAGTCTTTGAAAATGTTGAGGGCCTTCCTCTGACACCGCCTGGTATAGAGGTCCTGGATGGCAGGAAGCTTGGCCCCAGTGATGTACTGGGCCGTACGCACTACCCTCTGTAGTGCCTTGCGGTCGGAGGCCAAGCAGTTGCCATACCAGGCGGTGATGCAACCAGTCAGGATGCTCTCGATGGTGCAGCTGTAGAACTTTTTGATGATCTGAGGACAAATGCCAAATCTTTTCAATCTCCTGAGGGGGAATAGGCTTTGTCGTGCCCTCTTCACGACTGTCTTGGTGTGTTTGGACCATGATAGTTTGTTGGTGATGTGGACACCAAGGAACTTGAAGCTCTCAACCTGTTCCACTACAGCCCCGTCGATGAGAATGGGGGCGTGCTCAGTCCTCTTTTTTTTCCTGTAGTCCACAATCATCTCCTTTGTCTTGGTCACGTTGAGGGAAAGGTTGTTATCCTGACACCACACGGCCAGGTCTCTGACCTCCTCCCTATAGGCTGTCTCATCGTTGTTGGCGATCAGGCCTACCACTGTTGTGTCGTTGGCAAACTTAATGATGGTGTTGGAGTCGTGCCTGGCCATGCAGTCATGGGTAAACAGGTAGTACAGGAGGGGACTGAGCACGCACCCCTGAGGGGCCCCCGTGTTGAGGATCAGCGTGACAGATGTGTTGTTACCTACCCTTACCACCTGGGGGCGGCCCGTCAGGAAGTCCAGGATCCAGTTGCAGAGGGAGGTGTTTAGTCCCAGGATCCTTAGCTTAGTGATGAGCTTTGAGGACACTATGGTGTTGAACGCTGAGCTGTAGTCAATGAATAGCATTCTCACGTAGGTATTCCTCTTGTCCAGGTGGGAAAGAGCAGTGTGGAGTGCAATTGAGATTGCATCATCTGTGGATCTGTTGGGGCGGTATGCAAATTGGAGTGGGTCTAGGGTTTCTGGGATAATGGTGTTGATGTGAGCCATGACCAGCCTTTCAAAGCACTTCATGGCTACAGACGTCAGTGCTACGGGTCGGTAGTCATTTAGGCAGGTTATCTTAGTGTCCTTGGGCACGGGGACTATGGTGGTCTGCTTGAAACATGTTGGTATTACAGACTCAGTCAGGGACATGTTGAAAATGTCAGTGAAGACATTTGCCAGTTAGTCAGCACATGTTCGGAGTACACGTCCTGGTAATCCGTCTGGCCCTGCGGCCTTGTGAATGTTGACCTGCTTAAAAGTCTTACACGCTCTCCGTAGCCGATGTGAGATCACATAGCCATCCGGAACAGCTGGTGCTCTCATGCATGCTTCAGTGTTGCTTGCCTCGAAGCTCAGTTGGCAGAGCATGGCGCTTGCAACGCCAGGGTTGTGGGTTCGATTTCCATGGGGGGCCAGTATGAAAAAATTAATGCACTCACTAACTGTAAGTCGCTCTGGATAAGAGCGTCTGCTAAATGACTAAAATGTAATAGAAGTGGTTTAGCTCGTCTGGTAGGCTTGTGTCACTGAGCAGCTCGCGGCTGTGCTTCTCTTTGTAGTCTAATAGTTTTCAAGCCCTGCCACATCCGACGAGCGTCAGAGCCGGTGTAGTACGATTAAATCTTAGTCCTGTATTGACTCTTTGCCTGTTTGATGGTTCGTCGGAGGGCATAGCAGGATTTCTTATAAGCGTCCGGGTTAGAGTCCCGCTCCTTGAAAGCGGCAGCTCTACCCTTTAGCTAGTGCGGATGTTGCCTGTAATCCATGGCTTCTGGTTGGGGTATGTACGTACGGTCACTGTGGGGAGGACGTCATCGATGCACTTATTGATGAAGCCAGTGACTGATGTGGTGTACTCCTCAATGCTATCTGAAGAATCCCGGAACATGTTCCAGTCTGTGCTAGCAAAACAGTCCTGTAGCTTAGCATCTGTGTCATCTGACCACTTTTTTATTAACAGAGTCACTGGTGTTTCCTGCTTTAGTTTTTGCTTATAATCAGGAATCAGGAGGATAGAGTTATGGTCAGATTTGCCAAATGGAGGGCGAGCTTTGTATGCGTCTCTGTGTGTGGAGTAAAGGTGGTCTAGAGTTTATTTTCCTCTGGTTGCACATTTACCATGCTGGTAGAAATGAGGTAGAACGGATTTAAGTTTCCCTGCATTAAAGTCCCCGGCCACTAGGAGCGCTGCCTCTGGATGAGCGTTCTCCCGTTTAGTTATGGCCCTATACAGCTCATTGAGTGCAATCTTAATGCCAGCATTGGTTTGTGGTGGTAAATAGACAGCTATGAAAAATATAGATGAAAACTCTCTTGGTAAATAGTGTGGTCTACAGCTTATCATAAGATACTCTACCTCAGGCGAGCAAAACCTCGAGACTTCCTTTTGTGCACCAGCTGTTGTTTACAAATATACACAGACCGCCACCCCTTGTCTTACCGGAGTCAGCCGTTCTATCCTGCCGATGTAGCGTATATCCCGTCAGCTGTATGTTGTCCATGTCGTCGTTCAGCCACGACTCGGTGAAACATAAGATATTACAGTTTTTAATGTCCCGTTGGTAGGATAACCGTAATTTTAGGTAATCTAATTTATTTTTAAATGATTGAACATTGGCTAATAGGATTGATGGAAGAGGCAGTTTACTCGCTCGCCGTCGGATCCTTACAAGACACCCCGACCTACGTCCACGATATCTCCGTCTCTTTCTCCTGCGAATGACGGGGATTTGGGCCTTGTCAGGTTTCAGTAGGATATCCTTCGCGTCCGACTCGTTGAAGAAAAAAATCTTTGTCCAATACGAGGTGAGTAATCGCTGTCCTGATATCCAGAAGCTCTTTTTGGTTATAAGAGACGATGGCAGAAACATTATGTACAGAATAAATTACAAATAACGCGAAAAAACACACATAATAGTACAATTGGTTAGAGGGCTGTAAAAAGGCAAAGGGTGGCTACTTTGAAGAATCTAAAATATATTTTGATTTGTTTAACACTTTTTGGGTTACTAAATGATTCCATATGTGTTATTTCATAGTTCTGATGTCTTCACTATCATTCTACAATGTAGAAAATACTAAAAATAAAGAAAAACCCTTGAATGAGTAGGTGTGTCCAAACCTTTGACTGGTACTGTATGTATAAATGGAAGAGTTGTCTGGCTCGGCTACACAGACGCATCACACACACACACAGTTGCTTGCTTGCTTGCACGCACACACACACGGATTTCCGTTAGCTGGTAATAGCCGGCTTTTGTCCCCCCCAAAAAATGAACATCCGATAAATACAATTGACGCTAGCCAATCCCCTTGAGAAAATGCATTTTAGCCTATTAGTTGATTGAAATACTAGTTGATGTAGCCCAATCATTGCGCAACAATTCTAAATGCAATCACGTGTTAAAAACAATGGCCACGATAAAAAATTGCCATTTTTATTTCTCAACTGGTAATTGAAGCGCGCTTCCCATTCGCCATTCAAGTGCATAGGCAACTAGACAGGCTTCAGAACATCACACACCACTTCGCAATGAGCTGCAGGCAGTATGCATTTAGAAAACAAATACTTAATTGGTTGAAACCTGTTTTACTACATATGAGGCATGTCAAAGTAGCCCAGCCAAAATCCAACCAAACGTGCATGCAAATATTTTATAAATATTATATACCATTGAAACCAGTAGCCTATTTCTAGCATGTGCTACTGCTTTTCAAATCAACTCTTTCATTGTCCAGTAGCCAAAGGCACAATCCTAGTCATATAAGCAACCCATGCTAGTTGTTGCATCTTTAGATCTCCCCTATTTCAAAATTTCTAATGGATACATTAATCTCGCATGTGCGGTGCGCTTTTGACAAAGGTGTTTCCCCGCATTATGGAACGAGCATTCGCGCTTAGCCTACTGCCTCGTGCACATTTCTGCGCTTATAATGTGAAGAAATAATATTTTATCAACATTTTAAGCTAAACGTTCTGATCTGTTGCATGAGCCTCATTTGCTTTGTTCGGAATAGGATATTTATTTCTCGCACAGAACGACAAGCTGACCAATAGAATAGGTCGACTTTTGTACTATGGGGGATAGTAGATTGACATAAGCTAGTGATTTTGCTGTTCGTTACTCATCTTGCTGGCTGAGGAAAAGTAAATATGGACAGTTATTCTAACATCTTCAAATCGCGCATCATTTGGTAAGATGGACGCACGCCGTTGCATCCTCGAGCTGCATGTTCTGTTAAGATGAATTACCATAAACGAAATGTGATTTCTGTCATTCTGAGCACCGTGGGTGGACGCCCTAATCAGGTTACGCATCCAATGCATATGGGTCCGGTAAATTTCTTAAAATGTCCAGTAAATGAAAATGCTGCCGGTCAAATGTCCTGACACACGCACACACGCACACACAAACACACACACACACGCACACACACAGACTTCTTACATCTGCTGCAGCTGGGGCTGGAGGAGGAGGACTCACACCGGAAGAAGCCACAGACCTTGCTTGTCTGTCGGAAAGCTTGTGGAGCCGACAGAAACTTCTCCCTGGCAAGAGAGAAAAAAAAGATTTTTGTAATTTTACTTCTTTGAAAAAGAGACCTTTGTAAAGGGGTGAAAAATATAAAATTACAAGTTAGCCAAGGCCCAAAGCTGAACTCACTGTGTGGGGTAAAACGTTGAACCAATACACTGGAGGAATCTGATGTGTCGACTAGTAATAACTTGACTGTACTGTCAGTGTTGACCCACATTTTAAAGCTGGATGGAGTTCTACTTTAACACGAAGCGCTGGGCCCGTACTCATAAAGTGTTGATCTAGGATCAGTTTAGCCTTTTAGATCATAATAAGATTATATGGACAGGGAGGATCTGATCCTAGATCAGCACTCCTACTCTGAGACTTTATGAATATGGCCTCTTTTCAACAGGATCTATTCCATTCCTCAGGATCCGCTCCTCAGTTTACCTCATAACTTAGGCATATAGCTTGTTGCTACGCAACTTCTCTGAAGGTAATATTGCCAGCCAGATTGTGAGATCCGTGCCGTCACAACACAGCGGGATCCCAAATGTCAAACGGAAATAGTCTCATTTCTATCTGCTTTCAAGTGGAAACGCATCAGAGTACAAATTCCATTCACTTTGCAATATCAGTTCAATAAGGACATTTGATGAAAGAACTGCTGAATTAATTCCACTGTTTGTTAGCGCCTGAGAGTGGGCCAAGTAGATAGAGATCATGTAACCCAATATGTTTTTAGAATTATGGATCCATGTGTAATTCTATGGCATAGTAGGCCTGTTTCATCTGTAGCGTGGCTGTGTTGTCAGGTTACAGTAATGTGGTCAGATATTAGACACAAGGGGTGTGACTGGATGATCTGGAACGAACAATGGCCTTACCCAGCTGACTGACGAAAAGTGGCCCTGCCCTTTGGATATGAAACCAAACCTGAACCTGTGTGTGTGTGTGTGTGTGTGTGTGTCAACGCTTAAATGACCAGGCCAACATACACTGACAATTATTTAATCCAATCATCACCTAGGTCCTACACATCAAATTACTCTTGAATAGGCTTACATTGCAAAGGATAAATGCTTCAAATTTGTGTGTTGTTTGTTCATTGTTATCTATCAGTTGAGTTAATGGCCCTCTAAGCTTTCATTTTCCAGAAAAACGAAACTTACTAGAAGTGGTTTCCAGGAGGGGGCATTGTTGTCCTCACAACAAGTAACCGAGATGGTGTGTCATGTACACACATACACATGTCTCTAACAAACACGCACACACACACGGAAACAGTCAGTCAGTGGATACTGTAAGCCAGTCTGCTTATTGCTAAGGGTTTTGGTCCCAAAAAAAATCTAAAGGGCACTAATCTGTTTGCATTCCTTTGAGAACACAGAGGAGGACATTTTGTTCAAGTATTCATGCAGTCATGTTGTTACAGAAGAGCGGAGGGGATAAAAGTCTAATTAGATCAACATCAGTGAGAGGGAACAATTGAGACACTCTCCTTGGAGACTGTGGGAGACTTCACCAATGAGAAACTGACAAATGGTTCAAAGAAACGGACGAGAAATTGCCAAGTAGAATCCCTTGGGTGTAGGCATAGCCTAGGCTGACTATATGGTCTCACTGCAGCAGCTACAGCACACACTATTCTATATTCTTTGCAATTTAGCAGACGCTTTTATCCCAAGTGACTTACAATCAAGCGTGCATACATTGTTTACGTATGGGTGATCCCAGGAATTGATCCCACTATCCTGGCGTTGCAAGCACCATGCTCTACCAACTGAGATACAGAGGACCACAAGCCTGTTACTTGTGAGTACTGATATTGCACTTCTGGTGCATTAGTGTAGGGCTCCACTACCTCAACACCGGTTTTAATTCACAATCTGAGTCGTCTGTCATGCAGAAATCGGGACAACCTGGCGTACCTACTAGTAGTTGGCACACTTTTCTTTGAGTGCTGACATGAAATGTAGCCTTCAATCTAACGATGGTGAAAAGCAAAACCCCCCCAAAACAACACAAAGCAAGACAGGCAGGCAGGTAGGTAAGCAGAACTCACTTGAGGTTCCCCTCCACTTCCCTGATCTCGTACTGGTCTCCCTGGTTGAGTAGCTGGAGGATGCCCTTTTCAAACGACTCGGTAGACTGCTCCTTCGGAAGCTGCTTGACAGGGGGAGGACAAGTGAGTTAAGGTTTAACAAGTCAGGTACAGTACCATTCAAACAAATACCTTCAAAACAAGAGTGAGAGTTCATTAAGAGTTAATTAAGTAAATTAATTATTCAATTAACTAAGTAACTAAATTAAGTAACTAATTCATTATCCCTGCTCATTATAAGTGAGTGGGTGAAAATCCAATCGATGCTATGCAGGGAACTTGGGGTCAATTCCATTTCAACTCAGTCAATTTGGGATGTGAATAGGGATAGCTAACAGTACAGATTGCAATGTTGATCATAGCTTTATTGGATTTCTAAAACACAAGTTAGTGATTTATACCTTCAACAAGAAGCTTTCCAGTTCAAGATGTGTTTTCGTGACATTGCTGGATGAGGAGTCGGACCACTTTACCTGAATGAGAAGAGAAAATATTGTTACATTATTTTCCAAGGGATGTACTGTACATTGATGTTGGCAGATATTGAAAGGAAATGCAGACACATTGGGTGAGGACACTGGGGAATCAAATTCACATCACATCATAGGAATGTTTTTCCTCAAACAAACAAAATCTACAAATCTACCATCTTGGCTTTGCTGCTGACACACCATTGGTGGTAATAGAGATGATCAAGATAACAGCTAGAAGACAATAATAAACAGTGTCACCCGAGCGCTACAACATGACGTTAGAAAAACTGCTGTTAAAAAAATGGTTTGGTTTGATCAAATCTTCAGAACATTATTTTTTGTGTTTGTACAGCCCTGCATTTGTTCTTTGCTGCTTTCCGAACCTAATGACTTGGACTCACAATGGTATTCTTGGTCGAGTTTCAGGGACTTTTCATCAAAAGTAAAGTCAGTTCAACAGTTATTTGTCCTACAACAGGATGTGACTGGGTCAAAGGGGTACGGACGGCACTATAATATTTTGTGTATCTGTCAGTAAAGAGTGCAAAATCACATCTGTCAATTACAAGTGAGTATGAGAGAGACAGCGAGAGAGAGAGAGAGAGACCAAGAGGCAGAGAAACAGAGAGACAGACCTTGAGACAGGCAGAGAAACAGACAGACCTATAACAAGAGAATCCACTGGTGCTACTGCACTAAACAAGAGGACTAACTCGGGTCAAGGACAAACAGATGGAGAGGGAGAATGACTCACAACAGCAGTCTGGCAATCCTCACTGTGTAGCTCTAGTCTAGTTCCTCTCTCCATCCCTCTCCCCCAAAACAACATCTGTGGTCATTTAGCAACAGCTCACAGCCCTGTGCCTGGTGGCAGCTACAGTGCAAGTGAAGTGCCGGAGAACTTTCTCCAGATACAACAATAAGCACCTCGTAAAGCACAAGACATTAGCTATGCTCCGGCACCATAACCAGACTGGCTCTGATGAGGACATAAAGAGGGTGACGGGCGGCCATGGAAGTGACTTTTCGGGTCATTACTGTGCTGCTGGTGCGATTACTATTATAAATGGGCTCTGGACTCTCCCATACAGCCTCAGGTTCTCGGTTCAATTAACTACTGATATTTCCCATCATGGAATATGAATTGTTTAAGCACATTATCATTCTCTGGAGATTGGTGATATTACCATACATTTGCAATAGTTGTTTTGAACTTCAAGTAAGGCAAGACTTTGGTTGACGTTTGGCCTATATATTTTTAATGATCAGCATGGTTCCCCCTAATAGGATTGACTTGACCCAAAATGCTATGAAGGTTTAAAGTCTTTAGGCTCCTACTCCATCACTTTAACGAGATGATACATCACTATTACTGTAACCATCAACAATGACAGGTTTACAACCAGACCAACCACTTTCCCACTTAAAAGCTTAAAATCAACCTTTTGTAATTAAAAGTAATGTTCTCACCGCCTTAAGACTACATCTAATTAGATGCTAGTAATGACATGTTGTAAAGTAGATTGAGATGATACAGATCTCTAACTAACGTCACGACAAGCCATAGCACGCTGCACGATTAGTTAGACTGAACTTGATTTTTAGGGCAGTTTATAGCCCAAAAATGTTGGACATTTTCTGACCAATTTTGGTATTTTAAAAACTCACAGCGCAAACCAAAGTGGTTGGTCTAACCACCCTTATTGAGTGAACTACCACCCAACTGAAAGCAGATGTTCACTTCACACTGAGCATATTCCAACAAAACAAAGTCAAGTGCAACCAGACAGATACGCCAAAAAGGCCAAACGTGGCGTAGTTAGCTTTTCCAATGTGGAAAGAGTTGACATGGTCACCATATGGCCCTACCGGTTGTCCTGCCTTCCCACCCCCTACATTGAAAAAATAGCCATTTGAAGAAAGTTCTAAGAGCAGAGACAACGCCAAGACATTTTAGCTCTCTTACACGGCTAGCTACATCTTCTGTGAACAATTGAAGAGGACTACAATGGTTCAATTAACTTAGGCTAAACTCTCTTGGGAAAAGCACTATAAAGAGTTTGGCCATTGAGGTTTAAATAGCAGTTAGTATCACATGTATAAATTCCTTGGCGGCCATGTTAGCACGTAAATTGTAACAACAATAAAAAATAGGCTAGCTCGAACGCTAGCCAATGTATGAATCTGCTTTTGGGGCACCTCTAGAACCACACTGCTGACAGTCACGCCTGCTACGATAAACATACCTACATACACACACTCTGGACTGTGCTAAACGTTAGGCTAATCACCAGCACTACAACAACAATAGAGCTGCTAGAGTAAACCCCCAGGGTGACACAACAAGCGGAAAAGAGAGCGAGAGAACAAATAAACAAGTAGCATGGGCGGAGGGGGTGAGGAGAGAGAGAGAGCGAGCAATTGAGAGAGCGAGAGAGAGGGAGCAGGCCTCTTTACAAATCACTGCCTCCTCATTGATGTTGTCTGGCGAAATATAATTATGTTGTTGTTGGGCTATTTGTCATTCATTTCAGAAGCTGATACAGAAGCTGATTTTCTATTGGGTTCAGGTCTGGAGACAGGTCTTTGAGACTGTGGTCCCAGCTCTCTTCAGGTCATTGACCAGGTCCTGCCGTGTAGTTCTGGGCTGATCCCTCACCTTCCTCATGATCATTGATGCCCCACGAGGTGAGATCTTGCATGGAGCCCCAGACCGAGGGAGATTGACCGTCATCTTGAACTTCTTCCATTTTCTAATAATTGTGCCAACAGTTGTTGCCTTCTCACCAAGCTGCTTGCCTATTGTCCTGTAGCCCATCCCAGCCTTGTGAAAGTCTACAATTTTATCCCTGATGTCCTTACACAGCTCTCTGGTCTTGGCCATTGTGGAGAGGTTGGAGTCTGTTTGATTGAGTGTGTGGACAGGTGTCTTTTATACAGGTAACGAGTTCAAACAGGTGCAGATGATAACTGGTTGGTTGGTGATCAAATACTTATGTCATGCAATTAAAATGCAAATTAATTACTTAAAAATCATACAATGTGATTTTCTGGATTTTTGTTTTAGATTCCGTCTCTCACAGTTGAAGTGTACCTATGATAAGCAGGAAAACCTGCAAAATCGGCAGTGTATCAAATACTTGTTCTCCCCACTGTGTGTGTGTGTGTGTGTGTGTATATATATATATATATATATATATATCTTTGTTTGTAGCAATGTCACATACATCATTTTAAATAATTGCGCCTTTTCGTTGTTAAAATAGGCCCATGATTTTTTTCTTCCAAGTATTCGAATACCAACGTCCGTTTGGATATTCGAATAACCATGCCCATCCCTACTATCCACTTCCTCATCCTCTCCCATTGTCGCGTAGAGATGTATAGAGATCACAGTGTTGTGATCATTGAGACAGATACAACGTTGCGATCTCTATACATCTTTATGCGACAGAGGGACAGAATGAGGAAGAGGATAGAATCTTGTTTCTTATGATTATCAGTAAAATTAACACATTTATAAATTTGTATGACTATAAATGAACAACCACCCTGATTTGGAGAGGTTAGGTCTATTTCTCTGCTTTTGAGATGAGCCGGCTAGTAGTTCCTGGAGACTTCCAGCAATTGTGCTAAGCTAACAATACACTACCTTCAAACTGCACACAGACATAAAAAGGAATTCCCTCTGAAAATTATTTTAAGCAAAAAAAAAAAAAAAAAATCGTGTTGCGATGCAAGCTGGCTAAAGTTATTGTCACTTGAATTGTCATTGAATAACACAAATTGCTGACATTTTGCCCTGCTACTGCGGCTGGCTAGCCATGTAGGTAACGTTATAGCAGTCATTGCATTACTAGACAAACAGTCGAGTCTGACGTGACTCTGCTGTAGTAGGTAGGTAGCTCATGCATTCACGATTAGTTGGCTCACTTGGCTGCTGCCTGGCCATTGAGCCAGCATGCTTGCTAGCTAACGTTAACTAGCTATTTTCAGGCAGCTACCCTTCGAAATGCGGTGGCCAATTGGTGAACAAGCTATAAGATGAACAGTTTCCCATGGTTTAAACATAGCTAACCAGCTGGCTGTAGGCCATGTAACCAACAGCATAAACTCAGAGTCCAGCGAAGTTAACTAGCTAGCGTCGCAAATCAGTAAGCATTAAACCAATGCACCATGCAGACTGTATTTGCTACGAAGTTACAGAAAACTAAACCAGCAACCAAACCAAAATTAGATGCATTCTAAACTCAGGACCAATGATGGGAAACTTAGCTAGCTATGTAGCATTAATTTGTTTAAGCAGAGACATTTTTTTGCAGCATCTTATCATGAATGATAAACATGCATTTCTCCGGTCTGTCTGTGCTACAAAATGTGTTGCAGTCATGACGCAAGTGGCGCTAGCTAGTGCTGTCAAATACTTCCACGTTTATCGTTTGACCACCTGTTTTCAGCTACATTTCAGTCAGTTATCCTCCGAAATTCGGTGGTCAATGGACAAAAATGACTAACTAAAATGAACTAGTCACGATTTGTTGTTGCCCATGTATAACCATAGCTAGATAACCAGCTCTGCTGGCTCATGTAGCACTTCACATAGGCTAGCTGAGCGGTTTTATTAGAAAACGGCTGAGAGTCAAATCCTGTAGCTAGCAAGTCCACCTCGAAGACAATGTTATTTGGGGTGTGGTTATGTTTGATTAGTCATTTAATTTTAAGATAACCTTCATCGAAGTTTGTGGTTACTACTGGTTATGGATCCGAGGCGAGAGAAATTGTCTTCCGTGTTTTTTTGTTTGGTCAGGGCTTGGAGTTGGCGTATTGATATTTTGAACACTGGCACGACTTCCATAGACAGTGCGGATAACAATGGAAATTGCCAATGGCTTAGAACCCCATTTCAGCCAATCAGACTGCAGATTCCTCCAAACCCGTTTTATAACACCAAGTAAAAAGAGAGGGAGAGAATAATAATAATAATAATAATAATAATAATAATAATAATAATAATAATAATAATTGCTCCTTGTCACCTGGCACGCCAGTCCACTTTTTAAAAGCTAGGATTAGGGCAACTTTATTGTGGGAGTTTTTTATGGCCAAACTGGTGTGCATAGTATAAATTGTTTATATTTTATATAATTGTTTGATATTTATTTATGTATATTTTATTTAAATTTTTAGGGGTAGATCAGCTTCAATATTGCAGATAGATTGTAACTTCTATCAATGTAATTGTCTGCATCACTTCCAATCCCCCATATGTTTTCTTTCCTTCTTAATGCGTTTGAGCCAATCAGTTGTGTTGTGACAAGGTAGGGGTGGTATACAGAAGATAGCCCTATTTGGTAAAAGACCAAGTCCATATTATGGTAAGAACAGCTCAAATAAGCAAAGAGAAACGACAGTCCATCATTACTTTAAGACAAAGGTCAGTCAATATGGAAAATTACAAGAACTTTTAAAGTTTCTTTAAGTGCAGTCGCAAAAACCATCAAGCGCTACGTTGAAACTGGGTCTCATGAGGACCACCACAGGAAAGGAAGACCCAGAGTCACCTTTGCTGCAGAGGATAAGTTCATTAGTTACCAGCCTCAGAAATTGCAGGCCAAATAAATGCTTCACAGAGTTCAAGTAACATACATCTCAACATCAATTGTTCAGAGGAGACTGCGTGAATCAGGCCTTCATGGTCAAACTGCTGCAAAAAAACCACTACTAAAGGACACCAATAATAAGAAGAGACATTATTGGGTCAAGAAACACGAGCAATGGACATTAGACCAGTGGAAATCTGTCCTTTGG